TGGCTCTCCTGCTGCTGCCGTCCCCGTTTATCTTCCGCCGATACGGCGTGGCAATTCGCAAGTCCAGCAGATTCTCCGATGCCCCCTACTAGATCCCCCCTCGCAGTTCCTGCAGGGCATCTCTTTGAGATGGCTATTTACACTCTGGAATGGCAATTGGTCTTCTTAGCAGGCCTCTTCCCTCGAGCCCTCCAGGGACAGACTAGATCGTTACCTGGCCTTCATGCATCTTCGCCTTGACAAAACTTCAAATAATCCACATCCTTTCTTCATACACATTATATCTTTTGTATTAGCAGTCGGGCGGCTCAGGCAATGGATGGGCACCCATCGGCTGAGCCGACCTTTGACGTCTTGATGCGGAGGGCGGCCCCGGGCATAGTCCGATGGCCGGAGTACCCGACCAAATACAACCTATTGCCACCCATCCCCCTATGTTTAGACGAACCGACCCCAGTGTATGCCTTGAAACTTCGGAGCTATCCGATAGTACAGCAACTCAGTCGGGACCCACCCATTTAACTTCCGCGGAGTGAACTAGCCAGCGGAGAGTCAGTTCTATTCGTCACCAGGACTCTCCACTATATTTGCCAGTCCAGAATCTTCCCACTGGTTGCTCCACGATACGATGCGCCGATTGTTTTCGGCTGAGTATCTGACCACTTCTCCGGGGACTGGGTTGGAAGGCCGGCCGTAGTGGTGAGGTCAATTGTGAGAATAGACAACTACAGATGAGTTGAGACCCGATCCCCGCTGTGGGAAATGATGTAGACGATGCGATTCAAGCAGGTGTATACGCACCAGGCACCGAGCTCTGAAATTGCCACCAAAAGTCAAGAGTCGACATGCAGGGTAGGCAATGAGCGAGGGTGATTCAACAGTGTGGTAAACCGACACAGTAGTTGAGGTTCTCGGACAGGGAAGAGAAGATTTACATGGACATTCATAGGCGGCCGTTGTACCTTCTATCTCCGTATCGAGAAGAGAGGAACACGCCAGTCCAAAATCAAATAGTTGCTTACACCGTGGGGGATTCGGACATACATTTTGGGGCATCTTAACGACCGTCCGTCTCCTTGCCCACTCTCCCAGTTCTGCCGCACCGTCGGAACGACAGGACCCCGCTTTGGGTTGACAAAACCAACACTATCATTCAATGGGGGGCAAGAAGCGTCAGCACGAAGTCAATCATGAGTAGGACAACGGCGCATTGCTGATGTAATCCTGTTGGCTTCGATATTGCCAGCATCTAACTCAGCTAGAGCTAATACCCGAAGCAGATACCTAAGCTTTACGGAGATCTAGACTCGCCGCAACAGGAGATTTAAGGAATATGGTAACCACTTATATGTCACGTATTGCACGTCGGGCGACGGCTTCGGACTAATCACAGGAGGAACTTGTCGTACTATCCGATTATCAGAGAAGCGATGCACAAGACCCTCCATGTACAATGGTAATAGGAACAGGCATTGAGATTGGCTATACGCTTCAGGCCGGACTTGTAATCAATCGAAGGTCGCTTCACCATGCCATCGGCCATCGGAAATTGGGACAAGATCGGATATTACTTGGACACAGAAAATCAAGGAGGCTTTGTTCTCTAGGCCCGGCATTTGCCGATAGACTAGTGGACCTACTCGGATGTTGCCGATGAACTTTGGGTGATGTGGTGTGGATTGCCAAACACCGTGCCATCATTTGTGGAGCGAAAGTCTAGCTCTTCACACAAACTGAGAGCAGCGTAGCGCAAGACATGGCCTAGTGCAGCAGTGCTAGTGGGCTGTACAGAAGACCATAAAGTGGTGGCTTTGAAGTCTGCTGCTTGATTGTTATGGTCAGGTTGGGTTCCATCGCCTTTGGGAGCATCGGATGTATCCGACGGCTATGATCCTCATTTCTCAAGCGCTTAGAAGTGGGTCAAATCGGCACGCCCGCGCCCAACGCGGCAAATATCGGTCCCATCAAACTCACATTTACTCGAGCACAGGTTAACTATGAGCGTTGCGGAGAATTGATAGGTCATAACTATCGTCTATGTGATGCTGGCTTCTCCTCTTTCGTTATGTTAGGATTATTATGTAGATTCAGAGGAAGACCTTCGGCATACCCGAAGCGTTCTGACCGGATGTCCCCCGCCGGTGATCGCAGAGGCGAGGAGAGAGATACTGCAGGTTGTCTATAAGTCCCTTCACCTCATTGCATTTGGCCAGGTTCCTACATGTATACTTCAAGCAAAAATGGTCGCATCGGACAAGGGAGAAATCAAGGCTGGTACCCTACTGCGTAAGCTTTCCCTCGCTACCGAGGCATCAGTCACGTTATAAGCTAACCGAGGACTTGAGACAGTGGGTGCTGGTCTGAACTTCTTTGAGTGAGTTTTATTGAAGAGCACTTTGCCCGGAGAGATGAGGCTAATAAGCCAGAGTGACCTCCTTGGGCCAGGTACATTTTCTTTTTCCTTCATGGCGCGAGGGACAATGCCACGAGAGATAGAGACTGACTCTCCCGGAGCCACTCGAGGTCATCAAGACGACCATGGCTGCCAACAGAAATGACTCCTTTGCAGGAGCCTTGCGGAGGATCTGGGCGCGCGGCGGCTTCTTTGGATGTAACACTCCGTTAGCTCCCCGATTGATCTAGGTATCATCGCTAACGATGACCCTCAGTCTACCAGGGGTTAATCCCATGGGCATGGATCGAGGCATCGTCCAAAGGTGCCGTCCTTCTCTTCGTCGCGAGCGAAACCGACCGGGCTGCGCGGTCGGTGGGCTTTGGGAACTTCAGCGCCGGCATCACCAGCGGGATGGCCGGTGGCCTGGTCCAAGCATACGCCACAGTTGGATTCTGCACCTGCATGAAGACTGCTGAGATCACCAAGCTCAAAATCGCCGAGGAAGGGGGCAAACCGACATCGACATGGTCGACCTTTAAGGATGCTTACCGGCGGGGAGGCATCCGGGGTATCAACAAGGGAGTTAACGCGGTGGCGGTGCGACAGGTCACCAACTGGGGCTCCCGCTTTGGCCTGTCCCGCATGGCAGAGAATGCCATTCGCTCCGTGACCGGAAAAGACGAGACGCAGAAACTGAACGCTGGGGAGAGGGTCCTGGCTTCGGGCTTGGGAGGTGGATTGTCGGCGTGGAATCAACCAATTGAGGTGGTACGGGTAGAGATGCAGAGTCTTAAGGCCGATCCCCATCGGCCCGCCAACCTCAATATGTGGAGCACGGCTCAGTATATCTACCAGCAGAACGGAATCAAGGGGTTGTATCGAGGCGTAACCCCTCGGATTGGACTTGGAGTTTGGCAGACGGTCTGTATGGTAGCATTCGGTGACATGTACGTGGAATCCCTGATTGCTTTGTGTGAAGCCATTGGTACTAATTTAGTAGGGCGAAAGAAGCGGTGGGAAAAGTCCTCGGAGAGAGTGTTTGAGAGGGAGTCGGAAGTCTTTGCCTGGAGCCAGCAACGATGAGAGAGACTGACGGAGTAGTCTGGTGACTGATGCATCTGTATAATCTTCGGGGCCTGTCGCGATGACCTTGCGGTAGAGAAAAGTAGATCAAATCTGGCACGTCTGATTCTGTCACCTTGTAGTCAACTACAAACAAGACCCTGACTCTAGTTCACAATATATCTCACGTATGCAACTTTGTCTTATCGTAAGAGCTTCGCACAAAGAACAATAACAACTCAGTAAAACTCTAAATGGAGGGCATAAAGCGACCACCTCCGCCTTTTCAACCCTGTCGACTTGAATCATCCAGAGTCCTCAGTCTGAACTTAAATATTTTCGATCACATATACCCCATCTAGCTACTTGGGTCGTTGCCTTGTTCACCGCAACCCGCATTACCCTGAGGTTGGAGAGGAATACACGGAGCAGATATTAACTTTTAGGCCTGGATTACCTGCTCTTGACAATGGTACGATTGATGTCTTCCTTACTTAGCCGAAGTCGAGCAAGACAAAGTAGTACAGGTCGCCACCACCAGCAGTACACAACGGAAACGTCAGAAGTCTGGGAAATGCGGATTGGCACAGCACCAATGAATGACGACCAAAAGCTGCGCACACATTCCAGGTTATCGGCTTCCGTATCCAAGAACATCTGATACCACAACGGATTCAGTTCCTCTACTCGGGGGACCCCTTGTTTCCTGTCGGGCACTTTCTCCGTGTCAATTCAAGCACGTAAAGTTTTATGAGGTATTGTACAACTCTGGAGTCGATGATACGATTTGCCGGGTTCCGCTTATATAATCAAGGAATCTGATAAGATTATTGACGGGGTTTCACAGCCAGTGGATACCACTAAACATCATCTTACTCCACATGTGCTTGAACAGGGTGCCAAGGTTCGGCTCGCCAGCCCCTTGCCCTATCTGAGTATCCCTTTCTGTTATCTGATCTGATCATTTCCTTGATTTCAAGGCCAGTGGATACGGTCAATCTATCCTGCCAACTCAGTGCCATCGTATTCGGAAAGCTCGTATCCGGAAAGTCTAGAGAACCCTGCGCAAATAAAGTATCCAAGCTTGAGTCACGCACAGTCGAGGTACGGTGGGGTAGGCCCGCCCAGAGGGCTTCAAATTCTTTAGGGGTCAGTCGCATGTCATCCCACGACTGGGCACCACGCCTGTAGTGCGGCAAGACTCTCTGTTCACCTTCTGATTTACAACTACATCAATGGTATAGCTTGAGCTTTTTCTTCCTGGAAGAAGCTGCTAAAGCCTCGAGCAGCTGTTAATGGCCAGGGTACTTGGCCTCAGAAGGTATATGGCCGCGCCCGGGATATTCTTGGTACTGGACTCACCAAGTCCCAGTCCGCCAGCTGTGAGCGCCCGAGTCCCCATGGGCTGAGATGGCCGAATACATCCAGTTTAGTGGAGCCGACGCAGTGGACTTACGTCGGACGGTGACTATCCGTCTTTGGTCCCGCCGGCCTTGTAAGTATAAATTGATCCGAAATTCCTTCTGAACTGAACTTCACCCAGTCACTATTGTTCTCGATATCTCCTGAGTGCCCGAGCTGTTCTCAAGATCCCCCCATCAACAATGAAGACCTGGATTCTCCTGCTTGCGGCTGTCGCAGCTGTTGCGAACGCCGCCGCGGTCAATGTTGAGGCTGGCGTTGAATCCTCTTTGATTGGAGTAGAGAAGCGATGTGTTGGCGGTAAGACCATTGCCTAGCACGGTAACATTCTGGTTTTCAGATCATGAGGACGAAAGCTAATGAAGACGATTTGACTATTCAGGGCTCCAAGCCTGTTCCTCTAATGCGGATTGTTGCAGTGGAGCTTGCTCGTCCCGTCTCGGTAACCGCTGCTTGAGTGCTTAGAGAGCAATTCGGGCCATCGGCACCATCGAACCTCGCCGGTAAGCTGGGTCTTGCTTCTGCACACTACGGCTTTTTTGGCTGACGGAGAACCGCTTGTTCTACATGAAAAGGCACCTTTCTGCATTTGACGTGTCGTGCGTCAAAAGAGCACGTGTTGCGTTCGATCCAGCATTGCTCGCTCTCGCTGTTTTTCGGGCAGGACTTCTCTTAGTTCCAACTAGTGTGAAGATGTATTGACCAGATATTTCTCCTGTCCTCATTACAGTTCAACAAATATCAGAATCCCTCTCAACAATGACAAAGTAGCGAAGCACGAGCCCCCGTCCTGTATACTTAACAAAATCCTTCTCCTTCTTGGAGCAAGCACATTGAATAATGCTCCCTGAAAAGCCAGTACAACTCTTTGCCGGCAATGAGAGTCAGCGGAGGCGACAAAGATCTATTCCCCAAGGTGTTTTTTTGTTGTACTTCTCTTGACCTTCCTACGGGTCTTTGCGATATCCCGACACGATCATTTCCGTATACTGCTACACTCCGAGGACCAGACTATATGCAAGTGACTTTCATGCAAAACAGGTCAAAGCCCACCGAGTTCGACGGCACAATAGAATTGCAATCTTTCGGAGACCGGTGACGGTGGGACTTGACAGTACAGAACATGACATACAGGATGCACACACACACACACAAGCAATCACACCGGGATGCTTTGACCACTACCTCATCGAAATATGGACGATTGACGCGAAGGTCCATCGCAATTCAACTTTGATAGTGGCCTCTGCGACATGACGAGCTTGAGATACTTCCGAAGAGTTCACTGCCAACGACTTGGGCTCAGTAAGCGTAAAGGTTGAGCTCCTCGGGGTTTGTGGCCCGGATCTTCCTGTTCTCCCTAATCAATATGGCTTTCATTACCCAGGCCAAAATCACCACTCCCGCTGAAAAGCCGATACTGCAGTACATGGCGGTGGCGAATCGCGGAGCATCACTATCCGGCCACAGGTACGGTGTATATACACTGGCCAGGTTGCCCAAGGTGTTGGTGATTGCAATAGCCACTGCCTTTTTCTCATCGGTTTGGCCGGTTGTTGCTGCCACCCAAGCGATGTTGATATTATTGACCCCATATGTGGCGGCGACGAAAAGGATCATTGCGAAGTACCGGGCGCCAAGATTGAGGGTACCACACGCCACCGCAAATCCGATAATAGCAAGTCCCTTGGAGATCGTGATGTGCCAGGTTCGCTCGTTGAAATGGCCCGAGGACCAAGAGACAGCAACAGATGTGAAGGTGGCCACAAGATAGGGCGGACAAGTGAGTACCAATGAGATGGTATCGTTGAACCCGAGAGTTTTTACCACCGTGGGCATAAAGTTCTTGAACCCATTGGCTGAGAGATGCAGGTTGCACATGAGAGCAAAGATCCAGGTTCGATAGTCAGTGGATGCTTCGCGCAGTCCCGTCCAGGTGCTGGTCCCTTCTCTTTTCTGCGTGGTATCGCGGGCGATGCGGTCATGCGCCAGTTGCCGCTCCTCCGGCGTCAGCCACGGTGTTTGGAGTGGGGAATTGGGGAGAATGAACCAGGCTAAAACGGCCACTCCTATGGTCACCACGCCTTGGATCAGAAAAAGCCACTGCCATCCGGCGAGGCCATGCTTTTTGTCTAGGCCGGCAAACACTCCTGCTGATATCAGCCCGGAGAAAGCACTCGCCAACATGTTGCCGGTGTAGAGCACTGCCATGCGCGTCGTTGCCTCTTTTCGGTTGTAGAAGAGGGAAATCATAAATAAAGCCCCAGGATAAAACGGGGCCTCAACTATCCCGAGAATCAGGCGACAGACCAGCATCCCATGGTAGTTCTTCACGAGACAGGTAACGTGGACACAATGGCCCACGCCATCATAAACCCGGACATGTATCTCGCGGGCTTCACACGGTTGAGGAGCATGTTTGAAGGGACCTGACCCAAGAGGTACCTACGCATCAATTAGCTTAAGAATAGCGGAGAATGCCAGGGCAGCGGATACCCGACGAAAAGGATGCTAACGCAAGTATTATATTGCGTTCCATGGAGGTTGAGGTCTTGGGAAAGACTGTTAAGCTTTCCATTTACCATAGCGTTGCGATCGAGAAAGTTGAGGAAATACATGACCCACAGAATCGGCTTATCCTTGTCAGCATAGGATTACCACCATCGAGGGCTTCGAGGAGGTAGATAAGACTTACCATCATGTAAGCATCAATCTTTCGTACGAGCCTGATCTCCTTCGGGTCCACCTTCGCAGTAGATCCAAACTGATCATACTGCGGAGTCGACTGGCTGCCTTTCTCTGCCTCCTCCACATGCTCCATGAAGCCATCGCTCTTCTTCACAGCAGTGTCCATGACTGCCGTGTAGGTGGGATTCAACGACTTGAGTTTATCTTCAGATTGCTCGGGGTGTCAAAAACAAGTCCATGGCTCAGCCTTGGGGCCTGATTTATATGAATAGCCAAATGACCACCAAGCGCGGAGACAGACACCTGGCGTGTACCCCATGGGGAATCTGTTGCCAAGCGATTCGCCCCACGAATTGCGACGAGATCTCACTCTCTGCCAAGACCGGAAGGAGAGGTCTAAGTGAACCCCCGCATCATATGAACACTAACTGCTCGTTTTGCTTATCCGTTGGCTGAAGCCGAAGGAAATCGGTACGTTTACTGTCCTCTGGAAAGGTTCGCCACTAGTAATGCCATCTTATTGCGAAGGTGTAACGTCCGAGGAATGGATGTCATGCGTTCCCAATGGCCTGTGTTTTTTGTGGGCGAAATCGCATACCCTTGCAGCAACGGCCCTCTTGTCAAAGCTTCAGCTGGATTTGACATGAGTGTGAAATCCCATATGGCAGGAACCTTCAAGATTGACAGTCTACCCATCTCCATATACTACCGCTACTGGGTTTTTCTTTCTCCGGCCATGTTTGGTCCCGCACGCTATTGAGATTCGACTGTCCTCTTTTGTGCTACAATATTTGCTTTGTTGTGAATAATCCATCATCTAGCTTTTTTGCTTTTATTGCATGGTCGAAGGGAAGGTCTCGACAGATCCTCGGTCCAATATTTCTGGGTAACGTGCCAAGGGACCAATTCATGAAGGTAAGGTTTCAAGCACAACGAGCTGACACCACAGGCCAAGAAGGGGGCTTACATATCCGAAAGATGGCGGACCTTTTCCGTACTACGGCCCGCCATGAGAGGCGATAGAGCAATGGCGAGTATCTCGCCTGGTTTTGAGTTTCTTCAAGGACGTGCCAAGGCGATAAACCTGTAGCTAAATTCTTGCTCCAATTGGATGTTCCAATCCTCTTACACCGCTAGGTCAAGGATAACTCGACATATCCGATGACTGGGGGTAACGGTTCTTTTCCGTGTTCCGGCCTACTTGTTGGGCCATCCAGAAACATGCGGCTGACTTAATCTGTCTGGCAATCGATGATCTGGGGATGGCTACCATCGGGTAAGCAGGGGCAAGAATAATACTGGTTTTCCGACAGGTTTCCGTCTCTACTGACTTGACTTCTGCGGTGGATTTTGACAGTACTGTAGGAACATTTTAGTTATGCTTCCGACTCAGCCGTCTTGAAAACTTCACCGGGCGAGGAGAAGCTTAGGGGTTTGCTTCAAAGGCCCCTTTCCGAGCCTTTCTGTGCATTGGTGCCACCTACACAGTGCTGGACATTAATGAGTATATCTGAGCAATTCTCAATCTAGCTGTATTAGCATTTTGGGCTGTTACTTTAGAACACCGCCCCCGATGAGAAACACTCCTATCACATCATTCGATCGGCCTTAAGCCCACAATCCGTGCCCTGGGGCCCCCAACCCAAGATTTTCGATTGGGCTATGAGTGCGCAGATATGATAATGCCACAAACTCCTTCAAACTTGCTTTCTTTCCAGTCTTTGCTGTAAACATGAGTTGATTTGGTCTCATTATATCGGAATCAGCAGCATTGTGCAATGCACACCCTTTTGGAAAGAACTACCCATGCGGTCTTGAGCTTCGGTAATCAGTGGTCACATTCCTGCAGGGTGCTAACAAATTCGTGCGGTAGAACCCAGATTAAGGGATCTACCCATGTTGCGAACTCACCACTCCTGCTATAAGTCTCCACTCACGCCGAGACATTTGGTGGGGAATTTCTGAGGCGTGGCAATTTGACTGAAGTGGGTCTTTCTGTTATCTGATAAGATCATTCATTCACAGGGTTTCAACGCCTGTGGGTCCTGCCAATTTATCCTGTGACTTCAGGTGCTTATAGAGCTTAGGACAACACAAGGCAATGTAACGGGGACCCATCGGTTTGACCGAGGTAAACTGCATCGGACCGTCCACTTGGATTGCATTGGGAGTCCACCGCAATGAGCCCCACCGCTGGTGTGCGGGCATGCCGGGTGTTGTAGGTTAGGGATTGGCCGGGTGCAAATTTGCCCTCTGGCTAGCGAGATTTGTTTTGTAACGGGTGGAGATAGCCACTTCAGTGCTTCAAATCTTGTGTGTAGATGGTGTAGTGGACTTACACCGGAGGCCAAACTTCCGCCCGCGTTCCTGCAATCTTGCGCAGCAATAAATCGGTCTTGAAATCCCCTTAAGGTGCGTGCAATCGTCTCATTATACACTTTCCCTCTCCCCAACTCTCCCTCATACTATATACCAAGGCTCACGGACAATGAAGACCTGGATCCTTCTCCTCGCAGCTGTGGCGGCTGTTGTCAACGCCGCTGCGCTTAATGTTGAGCCCATCGATGAATCCTCCCTTGGTGGGCTGGAGAAGCGATGCGTTGGCGGTATGACCTCCCCTCTCCCCACACAACGTTCGCAATATTGCATTCATGATGGGTGCTCATATCTCTAGCTGGCCTTCCGTGCTCCTCCGGAGCTGATTGCTGCAGTGGTGCCTGCCGGACCCTGTTCGGTCGCTGCGTGGGTCCTTAGAGGGAATCTCTTCAGTTCTCCACTGGCAGCCCGAGTAGGTGGGTTAAACTCACCGGTACAAGTCTCAACATTCTCGACTGACTTAGCACCATTTCTCTACTGCATATAGATCAGGTTCGTCAGGTTGGACGTGCTGTCTCTTGGACATTACCGTGGCCCGAAGCCAGGTGGACGTCTCGATCAAGCCTTGCCCGGCCCCGGCACTCGGGGTTTTTCATGGGGACGAACTGCAGGCACGGATTACCAAGGTTTCACCCATTGTCACTAGAATGTGGACTGCAAGTGTCCTCTTCTGTATACCTAACACGGTAAATAAGAATAGCCATGGAATATTCTTGAAATAGTGTAGAATACTCAAGTAGTAATGGTGGGTCACTCCGTATACACGCAGGGACATACGTGTATGTATATGAGAGTATCCATGTCATGGTTCCTACCACAGGATCGCAACCGGGATGCTGAGAGACTGGAACTTTGGGACCAAGACCTTCCAATCTCCCCCAATCACACACACGTTGTTCCCTGCCGATAAGAAGCAAGCAGGCTCGCTTGATGCTCCACTCAGCGTGTTCATCTCTGTCGAAAGTCTTAATCGAAGCGCCGGGATGACTGCATCTGATGTCATCATCCCAACACCAATATTGTGAACCCCACACCTCTGTTCATGTCAGTCTATCTATACACGCCGCCGTTTGGAAGAGAAGACAGGGATACAGGGAATTGCAAACGAAGATTGAGCCTTACAAGGTCCAGAACCCGATGGGAGGCTCGGACGCTGTCGCCTAACGACAACTTCCGAAGACTTGGCAGGCTAAGGGGCAGCGTCTCAACTCAGCCTATCTTCTCTGTAACTCCCAGCAGGTCAGAGAGTGCATGTCGCGAGGATGCCAACGATTCTGTTGTCTGGGTGATGATTAAGAATGTGATCATAGCACTGGTAATATCCCCCTTGTCTTATAATCTGGACCAAAGAACAGCATCATTCTACAGCCGAGCTGTCGTACTACTTATACCTATTCTGTTCATTATCTGTACTTCAATTCTTCGAATAATAACCCTCTATACTCAGCACTCAATTATAGGAAAGCAAATATGCTATAACTTCGGTTATATATCGGTAGTGTTATACACTGCTAGTTTAATAGAATTGTTTCAAAAATCACCAGAATTGTGTTATTTAAACTAGTATTTGACTGCGTTATGGATCCGCCGTCAGGACTATACAGATTAATACACATGCGGGTTACCCCGCAGTAGCACGGAATGGCAGTATCCCGAACAGAGCAATAAGCCATTGTTCCGCCCTCAATCCTGATGCCCCTTTTGCTTGCTTTTGGCTTTGTGGTTTCCATCGGGTACATGCGATCATGGTGCCGTAGAATTAACTACCTTAACCCCATTGCCAATGGGTACGAATCCCTGATGGTCCATGGGTACCACGCTGGTGGCCACATCACATGACCAGCCAAGCAAGTACAACAAGCCCAGTGGAGAAGCAGTACTTGACGGCTCAAGAAGTGTGTTTCACAGAGTGACGCCTGCTATAGGATGAAAATCACGGGCAAGCCCCGGCCCGTCCTGGGCCATATCGATGGCTGGGTGAAACCGGGCATATCAACAGCCCTATTGGGCGTTTCCGGTGCGGGCAAGACAGATTTGCTGGACTGTATGACTAATAATCGCACTGGGGTAAGTATGCTTACTGGTGAAATGCTAATCAATGTGAAGTTATGCGAGAAAAGCTTTCAGCGCAAGACGGGGTATGCGCAACAGCAAGATCTACACCGGGATACGACCGCCGTCCGTGAGCCTTCTGCTATGTTGTTTCAACGCTTCGATTTCTCGGTATTCCTTACAGAGGGGGGAAGCACTGTCTACTTCAGCAGGGTGTTTCGATCCCTGATAACCTCAAGCATGCGCTAACTCCATGACTCGGGTGATATCGGACCCCTGCCAACGCAGCCGGCCAGGGCACGGAGAGAGCAGTGCTGATGCGGATCCTCTGCTGGGTGGCGGGTATAACGCTTCGCGTATTTATACATCTTATTTGCCTTCTTCGCCGATAACAGTAGCAACGTTGCGAATTTTATACTTGTTCTGGTTCGTTTTTCCCGCAGGATACTGGCTGAGCACATGTCTACCGCCGGGGGGGGCCTATACTGGCTGGCCCGCATGCTCAAAGGGAACAAGGTGTAGAGTCATCGCCAGATAAATCACCATACAAAGCGATCCGGTGGTCGGGGACTCAGTGGTGCATAGTAACCCAGCTATTGCGAGTTCATATCTCTTGTGAGGAGCAAATGCGACCGTGGAGAAGATAAGGTTGTGACTTTTTCTTCCACTGAGCTCGGCGGGCACCCGAGTCGGTCCCCGAACACCTCGAGGATCTCGCGGGCTTGGAAAACAAATTGTGTCCATGATCTGTACCACACCTGCGATCATTGACACTCTTAATTGTGGAGAATTTATTCTTATGCAAGGACTGTGGTGGGTGATTCAAGGTGGAGGTTCACAGAGTCACGATCCGAGACGCGGATATATATTCTCGAAGTTAGGGTTACACTAACGGCCCATCTGCCTACAGTCGAACTTCACTAGCATCACGTTGAACAACATCCTTCTACACTAAGCCAATGTTACCTTGGATGCGATCTCTCGCCGTCCTATAACGATGACCGGAGTGATGGTCAGAATCATGTTAGCCACCACGACGGCGGCTTGTGTGCCAAAGACCGCAGCGATTCCATCGCGTTGGATCCAGGCGGGCTGGAAATAGCCCACCGAGAATCCACTCGCGGTGCGCCAAGCATTGATGATGGCAGAGACCACCGTAGACTGCTCGGGATATTTCTCCAGCGCATAGGCGGTAATGGATCTAAGGTCTTTGAATTAGAGTGACCACATGTCTTGGGGAAGAGGCAGCAACCTACACCGTACTCGCCACCATGCCGGCGACCACCATTAGCCATCCGAAGGCCAGCCCGATCCAATGCTTACCATAGCTCAGCGTAAGGCCGTAGGTAAGCAGGCCACAGGCCATGGTAATGATGGCCGCCCAAACCCCATGAAGTCGCTTCTCCGTGTAGTATGTCGTCGGACTGGACCGACTAACCCAGCCATTGAACCAGTAACCGTAGACCCAGCCTGGAATCTCTCAGCACTAATGCTCTTTGCGATGTGGAGATGTGCTCTTACCGAGTAGCGCGCCCAGAATAGCAGCCCATCGTAGCGAGGACGACTGGACGGTGTTGAACAAGTATGGGGGCTCGGCCACGAAGGTGGACACGGTGACCGTAATACCGATTGGCCAGCAGAAGTTGACCATGGTCGCGATCCCAGTCAGCAGCAAAGGAAGCTTGAAGATGTAGATCACCATGGTCTTGCACCAGTAAAGCAAGGTCGGCCCGGCAGGCAGATTGTGGTTTTTGACGCCGACCATTGACAAAAGACGACTGTTTCGCTGACACTGGCGGCCAGGCACATAATAAGTTTCATGGCCAAAGACAAAAACAAGGAGTGTGGATAAGCCGTAGAAGACGGTAAGAATCCCAAATGAAACTTTCCAGTCACTGCCTGCCCCGATATAGCCGGCCAGCGCAGGCCCCAGAAACGGTCCAACGAGGAATGTCGTCCCCCTGGGAAAATTTGGAAAAGAGTTAGCAGTGACACGCCCCATTATCGCCTGGGCACCCACCAGATATTAATCATCTGTGACCACTCTATATTGAATAGTCAGTATGCTTGTTTGCACTCAGTTCATATAGCAGACGCCGCACCTTCCGGAGGGTACATGTCATGGATGATCGGCAGACCAACCACCTGGGGCACGGTGCCGAAAAGGCCCTGAAGCGAGCGAAACGTGGTGAAGACGCCATAGTCATTGGATAGTGTAGCTCCGAGAACCATGAAGGTGGTGATAAATTGAGGCCAGAGCCAAACCGGAAGCCTGGACTGCATCAATCTTACTGCCATGATGTCACGCAGACAAGTATCACAACGCACCGTCCGTAGGCTTCAATCAGAGGAATAGCCATCAAGCCACCGACCCCCTGCAACAGCATGCCGTAGTTCATCGTTGTCGCTGACCTATCGACGCTGATGCCCCATTCCAAGGCCTGGGGAACAATCAAAGTGGCCCCCCAAGTCATGCCGCTGCCAACCCCATCTGTTACTGTTACGCTTATGATGAAGAGAATGGTGAAAGACGTACCCATCAGCCAAGATGGAACTGGACATAAGGGCAAAGAACAAGAGGCGCTTTTTCCAAGGGCGCCAGTTCCTGGGGTTGCGCTGCTCATCCCCGTCACAACCACCGCTAGCCGTTGTCTCAGCCACTTGAATGTGCTCGGCCTTGGTATCATGACCGGTTGCGCGAGCACCGGCACACTCCTTGACTTCAAGTTCCGTCATTAAGAATTTATGTTACAGAGAGGCTGCTTCCGGGAATGGCTTGGGCAGAAGAGAGAGGAATTGAGAGAAGGACAGGTGGGAGGAGGCAAGGCAAAAGTTAGAACCGGACCCCGAACAAAATGCTACTAGTTGACGCATGTCCCGCGCTCGACAGGGATCTACTTATGTGATCCTTTCAATTGAAGAGCCAACGAAGCTGCGCAGTATCTCGACACTTCACTAGTGTTACCGTTGTGTACAAACACCCATATCCCATAATCTAGACCCTACCTAGAGGCTTGCCAAGACAAGCCGTGTGGCCGTCATCTCCACCCACATATTTTAAATGACACTCGATCACTCAGTAATTATTGGAAGCTAGTGAAGGCCGGCGGATTCTTATATATTAGACCTCTTTGGCCGGGGCAAGACACGACGGTCTTTCTCCGCTTAGCTATCCACAATCCCTGCCGACCCCCATCCCACCTTTCACAATGTCTGCTCAAATGCCCGGAGTACAATTGGCAAGGACGGTCACTTCGGTTAGTAATCGGCACACAAACAACAAAGCTCCTCGGTGGAGATGACTACCTAAGTATTGACCAAGGCGGGATAGGCTGCAGCGCTTGGGTTCGTGCCAGTGGCCATCAAGTTCGGCTTGTTCGACCTTTTGGTCGAGATTGAGAAACCTGCCCACAGGAAAGAAGTCCTCATGGCGTACGAAAAGTCTGTGGGCAGTGATAGGAAAAGCATGCCGTGTACGTGACCTGAAGTCCCCCCTATAAGTTATCATATTCGAATGCTGATCTGATCTTCCGTTTCAGGTCTCCAGTTGATCGGTAAGCTTGAGCCGGAAGGGCCCTTCACTTGCACTTTGGCAACCGAAATAACTCTGGAGGAATTATAGACGATGCCTTGTACGCCATGGCGGGACTCGGCTTTGTGGACATGACAGTTGATTGCGTTTACTCCGCCAACGACATTACCCGGCATTTAGTGCACACACCTTCGGCTCAGCACGGAGCATTGCACTTGTGAGTTGCCGCAATTCAACCCAGATGGTCCCAAATTGATCTCGGAGTCCTAGCACGACGGAAGCTCTCTTGGCCGGTGCATTTCTCATGCGCCGACTGGAGAGTGGCGGCTATCGATATCCATTTGAGGAGCTCCACACACCATTGCAGTTTGCATACCACGAGATGGGCAATGACGAGCTCGCGCAACAGCATACCTATGATATTATGGCAGCCGAAGGACGAATAGACAGCTTCAATCGCTTCATGGTGGGCAAATTCATGAAGACCGCCACCGCTCCGGAGCGTCTGGCGCGGTTTGAATATCACCTCGACCCAGTTCTCCAGGACGCCAAGTCTCGCCGCGTCATCGCGATGGTTGACATCGGTGGCGGCCGCGGGGAAATGATGCTAGAATTCAAACAGGCCTTTCCCGACTTGAGCGACAAGGATCTGGTGGTCCAGGAGTTCAACCATGAAATCCGCGAAATCCCGGGCCTTACGCTCTCCACATGGAACTACAAGGAAAATGACAGTGAACAGCCGATCCAGGGGGCAGGAGTCTATCACCTGGCACATATTTTGCACAATCTGCCTGACCTGGATGCGGCACGCCTACTGCAAAAGCTCTCGCAGGCCATGCACCCACAATCGCGCCTACTGATCCACGAGTTCACTAAGAATGCCAACAATGCGAAAATGCATGCCAGTATGATTGCGTTGTTTGGGGGGCGAGAGAGAAGTGCGAGCGAGTGGCGCCAGCTGGCAGCGTTGGCAGGTCTCAGGGTCACCTTTGAGGCCTACCCTGAGGGAGGGGAGGGGCTTGTGGAGATGAGAAAGCTTTGAACCAGTCACTGGGCATGTGGTTGCCAGGATGTAGAACAGATACTGTACTATGTAAGACTATGGGGCCATCATCTTTAATTGATTCATTGATTCATTTATTTATTTATCTACGCCGGATAGATTCCGACCACTCACCGAGGGATATTGCGGCTAGTTCCGTGCCGGGTGGAGCTCCCGAACAGCCATCCCGGACCTTAAGTGCTGTCTGTACAGGTGGAGCACAGAGGACATGATACTCTAGTCTAGATTGACACAGCCCTCACATCTACGGCCTGACTAGTGCTTACTCTTTTATTCTTTATATTACCCTCACAAGCAAACCAACGGGATTGTTATCCACTGAGTCGGCCGGCATCATGAATGTGGACCCGGGACCCTACGACCCTACCTGCCCTAAATGTGCGGCGCAAATATCCGTAAGCCCCGGCTTAGATTGAGACCCAAAAAAAAGGACAAAATACTCTTCTGTACCGTGTATAGGACAAAAACAACCGATTGACTAAACTGCCTGGTGGTTACGATCTCTTGGCTACTTTTCGATCCCAGAAGCCCTAGGCTCTCGGATGTCTCTCAAGCCTGGACTGTCGTTGTCTTGATTGATCCCAATATAAGAGCACACAAGCACGAATAATCTCATAAGACAGATCGTTGGTGAAAGGCCCAGTCCATCTGGACAATGCCCAGCCGCTCGTTTTGTCGCACAACATGGCCACCGAGGATGAGACTGATATCAACTATGGTCAGTCTTCCCTTCATGTTCCATCTTTCTAGCTGCGATGGCCACAATTAAGGACTAACCACCATCATGCTGCAGCCACACCGTACATTTATGCCTCATGGGTCGGGCGCCCTGGTCAACCAGAGCATAAATCTAATGACAGCCATGCTTATCTTTGGTTTTAGGCCTTGACCGCGATTGCAGGGTTGACATTGTTGTTCCGTTTTGCCATCAAGTCCTGGATCCGATGGGCTCTACCCCGTGTCAGCTCTCCAGACCGACTCTGGGGGTTTGAAGATCTGTTCTACACTGCGGGTTATAGTTTTGACCTTGCGCATATTGCGTTGGTGCAAAGAAGGTTTGCCTCTGGCCCAAGCGACCGTCATTCCCGATTCATCTGATGCATGTAGTTATGAGGCCGGACTCGGGCGTCATTTATGGTTCCTGACTAGTGATGAGCTCAGAAGCACACTGAAAAACGAGTTCATCTCTCAGCCTTTAGGTACTACGTGGCTCGGTCCGCGACATTGTTGAACTGCCCTGCTGATGGATTCCTAGCGGTTGTGGCCTCCATGCTGTCTCGAACAAGGATGATGTGCTTTCTCTACAGTTGTTTCAACGGCGCCGACCGGCGGATCCACATCTCTATCCTCGTTTGTATCGGTGTTCAGATTATCATTAACATGGTTACAGTGGTCCAAATCATCGTTCAATGTGGGCCAAGTTCATACCGTACTGTACATCTCCGAGGCCCTCCCTCTTGACTTATGTTGCGATCGAAACGTTGGCTGATTGACTTTGTGAACTTTTCCAGGTCGATTGAGTGCACTACTTCCATTACATGTGGGATGACCTGCCTTACGACGGTTCAGTTATTTGCCAGTCACCGAGCGTACAGACAATGGTTGGCTTTGCTCAAGGAGGTAACTCTACCTCACCGCTGCCCTCGCGGGGTATGAAAATATCTTGTGTTCTGATGCTGCTGGAGGATTCAATTCCGGAGTCGACCTATTCTTGACAGCGCTCTCCGCCATACAGCTATGGCGCTATACGATGCGAGCGACGGATCGGGGACCATCCCACAGTGAATCATTCTGTTTCCGGTTCCAGAAAATACCTTGCAGGTCGCGAAACCGGCGGTTGTGGCAAACCTGCGCCTTGAGCGGTCCATTGCTGTTGTCGGGCATTGCGTCGATCATCAAGACTTGAGTACGTCGTTTCCTAAACAAGCAGGATGAGGATGACTACTGAGCCGTCGAGATCTACTAGTTACTCAAAGCTATCGGAGAGAGAAATGATATTACCCGTGAGTGGTGCAGTTGTTTTCAGACTCTCTGAGTCCCCATCTGGATCTGACCGCCGTCATTGGTAGATAACATAGTGCCATTCGTGCTATGGGTGAAGTAGGATCCCAGCATTCTCAAGTGTTAGGTGACAAGCATCCGCTAATTCATGCCCAGGATTGAGAATTATAGCATCCTGCTTGCGACCTGCGCTCCTATTATCCGGCTTCTGGTGTCGAGTGTCTCTAATAATGGATCGCCGAGCAAGGATTACCCTGGTTCTGGCATCCTATCTGGTGGAGCGAGCCAGGGGCTGGAACTGGACTTGGTACGCCACACAAATGACCAGGATACGGTTGCTCTTGCTATGCCCATGACAGATAAACAGGAAGGTCGGATTTTGTCAGGAGCCGAGCGTATGGGAATTCATCATGCGAGGAGTGTGGTTATTCGGACCGACATCCATTTTCATTTTGATTCAGATAGATCATCTACGAGACGCCTGATGGACTAAGCCGGGTGATGATAGTTGTGCCTGCACTCATCACTTCCACTCCTCTCTCTTTCTGCTTGGGGCTATTGGATACGTACACAGACAAGCCTGAACATCAAAGCGCATCTCCTCCTGAGCGACAAAAACGCTTTGTAATGGCCTTTCCGAGGTAGAGCCCGAGAACCAATCGCCAGTGGCGTTAGCTGGCTGATCTGGACAAATTCGGGGTCTTCCGTGCGGCCTATCCTGCTATGGCAAAAGATCGGGAGGAAATGGGAAATGGTCCAGCGATCAGATTCAAAGGCACGTAGAAAAGGAACGTACCTGTCGACTCCTGGATTACCAAGACGCCACGGGAGAACGGATGGATTTCCCCGGGGCCAATGCTGGGGTGTTGGGTAATGGAGATCAATTGGTGATAGATTAGCCTTCAGCTGCATACAAAGAAAGTCAATCCATCGACCCCTGATTTCTGATCCTTCTGCTTTTCTCATCACCACCACCACCACCACCATCCACAGCTTTCACCTTGTTTTCTCAACACCTAGATCATTCTTAGTTTGGAACCCTTGCTTTATAAAGAGGATGGATGCTTACCGCGTGGCCCCTACCACCACCCCTGCTCACCAAAGCTGCAAAGAACCGCTCTACGGGATTTTCGGCGACAGCCTTCATCACAAGTCATGCCCGTCGGGGAGAATACTGGTAGCGGCAATGGTGAGTCATCTTTCTCTTGGGCCATACGAGCAGAATTCGAATCTAACTGCTATGGGTCTGCAGCTGGGTCTCACGTCGCTGCTTCATGGGTTTGCACCTTCCTTGCCAGCACTCCATACACGCACAGCAGTCTGATTCCAACTTGTAGGCCTTGAGCACGATAGCGGGCCTAACCCTTGTCGCCCGATACAGCATCAAGTCCTGGATCCGCTGGGCCATCCCCAAGGTCAGCTCCCCGGAGCGCTTATGGGGCATCGAAGATCTATTCTACCTCCTCAGTTTCAGCTTCGATTTCACGCAGATGGTTTTGTACCAAAAGAGGTTTTTTTCATACCACTCTACCGGCGCTGCAACTCTGCACATGTCTCTAACGATCCTAGTTTTGACGCAGGGCTTGGGCGCCCCGCATCGACCTTGGCTCAGCCACAAATCAGTGACACGTTGAAATATGCGTATATCGGCCAACTCTTTGGTGAGTGCCGGCCCAACCGTCAACCTGCGTGCAGTCATATTGTTCGATTGACACGGGTACTTAGAGGTCATTGCTGTGATGCTCGCCCGCATTGGAATAATGTATTTCCTCCTGCGGTGCTTCCACGGGGCTGACATGCGCCTCCGTGTCGCGATTATGATCTGCATAGGTGTTCAGATCATTGTCAACCTGGCAACGGATTTGCAGGTTCTTTTGATGTGCGGTTCCCGCACATCTCACACGGTAGGAGAGCTCTGCCATCCGTCCACCACCCCAAGAATGGGACATGCTGACGCGACTTTTGCAGGCCAACCGACTTGCGTAATTCCACTACATGTGGGGTCCGCACCCGACTGATGGGTCTGTGGTGTGCCAGCAACCTGTTTCGCAAGTGGTCACCGGATTGATCCAGGGGGGCAGGTCTCCACCCACCTCTTTCGCATTGCGTCTGCTAACTCCGCAGCTAGGATTGAACACCGCGATCGATTTCTTCCTCGCCATTCTCGCCGGGGTGCAGCTCTGGCGCTTCCCACTGGCGCGGAAAGATCGCAGTCAATCGTTCCTTTCGCGCTTCAAGAAGCTTCCTCGGGAGGCGCGCAACCGGCGCTTGCGGCAGACAGCGGCAATTAGCGGTCCGCTGCTACTCTCCGGGATTGCATCTCTGGTCAAGACGACCGTAAGTAGCGTGGGCCTTCCTCGCAGCCAGGCGAAGCTCGTGGCTAACCAGTCGGTCGTGCAGCTACTCCATACGATGAATAGCGTTGATGACATGGCTCGTGAGATCATCCGTCGCAAGGCGTGCTTCGGTAGACTGACCCTGCTCGAATAGATTCGATTGTGCTGTTCATTCTATTAGCGAAGTAGGTCGCGCATGTGATATTCCTATTGCGTTTGACCACTCCACGAGAGACCTTGCTGACTTTGCCCATCTCTAGAGTCGAGAACGCCTGCCTATTGGTTGCTCCGTGTGCACCTGTCTTCCGATTACTGTTTTCGTTGGTATCAAAGACCGGGGCGCGGAATCTGGGCTACCCCTGGTATGGCAATCAGTCTGGCGCACGCGGCCAAGCGCTGGAGCTGGAGACCGTCCCACATACTCAAGTGAAGGGAACCGTCGTCATGTCGACGGTCGACAAAGACACACCACCGGAACAGCCCCCAGCGGGTGAAGCAGTAATTATCCGAACGGATATCATGGTGGAATATGCCTCGGAACGAACCGCTTAGGTTCGGGATGCTGTTTGGGTGTGGTGTGGCGTGACAGTGAGGAGGTGGTGAGGAGGGGGTTGTGGAGGGGGTGTGAAGGGGGTGTGGAAGGGGTGGCTTTGCAACACTTCGATCGCTACTTTCATCTCTTGTCTTGTATTAGAATGGATTCTTGGATTTTCATCGCACCCGAGGCACTACTGGTTGTGCATGCGTGTGAGCCCGGGGGCATTACCGCATCCCCAGGAACCGAGCTGTGTAACTAGGATTACCCCGCATTTGAGACTGACTCTGTTATATTAACTTATAACCCTTGACGTATAACCCAGCCATCCACCCCATCGTTCAACACTGATTCTCCCCGGGTCCTCTTCTATTGGAACTTATCTCCATAACAGGTTCGCATCCCACGCAACGCAACATGACCACTCAAATGGACCTTCCCAACACCATGCGTGCCGTGGTCTTCCGCGGTCCATATGAGGTGGCCGTTGAGGAGCGGCCCACCCCCAAGCTACAAACCCCTAAGGATGTGATCCTCAGGGTGTCTACCTCGGCTTTATGCGTACTCCCCCCTCTCCGTTAGTCACACTTGGCGTTGATCATCTCTGATCACATCTGCGATAATCTAGGGCTCCGACCTGCACTTCTACCGCGGCCACCTGAAATGCCCCACCAATTTCATCTGCGGCCACGAGTTCGTCGGCACCATCGCGGAGAAAGGCGAGGAGGTGGCCAACTTCGAGGTTGGCGATGAAGTGGTGGTCCCCTTCTACGCGACCTGCCAGGAATGTTACTACTGCGTGCGTGGACAGGCCAGTCGATGCAGCCAGGGCTTTTTGTTCGGCAACTCGGCCCCGGCCAACACAATCGATGGCGGCCAGGCCGAGTACGTGCGAGTGCCTTTGGCGTCCACCACTCTCGTCCCCAAACCCTCCACCATCCCCAACCATATGCTCGTCCTCATGGCCGATATCTTCCCCACGGGATACTTCGCTGCCTCCCGATTCCTCGCCAATCTGACCCAACGCGACCGTGACGAATACACCGTGGCCATCGTGGGCTGCGGCCCCGTGGGCCTCTGCACCATTGTCAGCGCACTCACCATGGTTTCCAAAGTCTACGCGATCGATTCCGTGCCCGAACGCCTTGCCGAAGCAGAACGCCTCGGGGCGATCCCTCTCCCTCTCTCCTCTGATCCGGTCGCCAAGATCCGCTCCGTCACTGACGGCCGTGGCGCGGACGTGGTCATTGAAGTCGTCGGTCACGCCGACGCCTTCATGATGTGCTTCGACATGGTCCGCCCATGGGGCACAATCCACTCCATCGGGGTGCACAGCGAGATGCTACCGTTGAATGGGCAGCTGTGCTACGGCAAGAATGTCACCATGGCGTTCGGACGCTGCCCCGTGCGCAGCATCTTTGATGAAGCCCTGGCCGTCTTTCAGAAGGTGTACCCCAAGTTGGAGTTCCTCTGTAGCCACGTCGTGCCCCTCGAGGAGGCTCCACAGGCGTACCGCGAATTTGAAGCGCGAAAGGCGCACAAGATTGTCTTTCGGCATGGGAGGGTGAGTTCGTAGTACACGGTGGCTCAGTAGTCACTCTTCCATTGAAAGCTGAGCGCGCGCTGGGTATGTACATGATGAAGCCTTGGATAGGGAAGTGGAGAGAGATTAGGGTTGGAGTGGAAGTTACTGTAAATCATGAATTGTGCCAGAAATCACCATCAACATTCTCATCCTTCTCATTCCTCAAGGCTTCAGCTAAAGAACCCATCCTCCGCTGCTGCTTTCGTCGCTGACTCATGAGCTCCGCGCTCCATGCGCTCATGGTATCCCGGTCCATAAATCATCAACCCCACCTGGACGAGCTGGTCCTTCTTGTATTGGAACTCGCGCAAAGCCATCTGCAGGGCGGGCATCTAGATGCGACGACTGTGTCAGTGACAGATTCAGCGAGAACATGGACTACGTGAGGCCACGAACATTGACTTGACTCCATCTCTCGAAGGACATCTCCTCTTCAACTATTCCCTCACCCTTGGCTTCATGATAGTACATGCGCGCTTTGTGATGCTGGATCTTGAAGTTCTTGGCTGCGTCGCCAAACTGGTGCTTGGCCATCTCGAACCGCGGGTCATCGTGGCTGCCATCGAGTCCCTTCGTGTTGGTCAGATAGTCCCACAGACTGAGGTCAAGCGGTTTGTCGGTAGGGCAGGTGTGGAGAGGCATTGTGAGGGATGAGTGGAATCCGAGCGGTAACGTTATGGGGATTTCCCAGAGAGCGTATAGCATCTAGCTCTTTATATACGGTCGCCGTCGGGTAGAATTTCCTTGATGCTACAGTGAGGTTCTACGACCTATCTAGACGGGTGGAAGTATTGCCACTTGGAGGAGTTAAGTCCCATAGCTCAGCACAGCAATGGTGGCGCAGCCTGGTTCCTGAGGCCGTGCACGGGCGGGCCATCGGGTATCTTGTCCCGATCGCGGCGGGGATACGATGCCAACCCTCGTGAGACCCACCATACTAACTCGCAGTGGTCAACGGCATGAGTTGACGGTCTGCATAATTGAATAATTGATCACTTGGTTAGTCCCAGCCCTAGCTATTGGGTTTTCCGTGACCGAATGCAGTGGAGAAATCGTACGAGCTGAGCATTTTAGATATATGAAGTTGACCGGGGCCATGATGCAGCAGTCGGCCGCAAGCCTGCAGCAGACGAGACCTGCGATGCACCCGTCATATAAACACATCGGCTTGCTTCTGCAAGTCCAAGAATATCCCCTTGTCATGGCCGGGAATGACCTGCCCCTTGGTGATGCGCTGCAGATGCTTCAGCCGTTGCGTGCTCCGGAACCAGGAAGGGTGGTCACGTGCCAGCCAGCCCTGAGGGATCCCATCGCGCCACTGCAGCCATCACAACAGATTAGCTAGCTTGCCTCGGGGAAGGAGAAAATAACATACATTCTCGATTACATGGCAATGATCACTGATGAAGAAGAAAGTGCCGGTGTGGAGCATGTTGATCTGCATCCCGATCAGTCCCTCGGTGTGGCCGGGGAGATGGTGAAGGGTGATGCCCTGGCAGAAATCGAGGGTCTGGTCGTTGAATGTCTTCCAATTCCTATCCAGCTCTATTAGCCCAGCATGCTTGAGCAATCCAGGGGAGAAGAACGGAACAGCATACAAGGACAGTTTCAGGTAATGCTCCAAGTAGACCCCACTATCCGCCCCGGTCGCGACCGACCAGAACGCACTGGTCAGCTCCTTCTCATGCACCCAGATCTCGACGTCCTTGCGATCGAAGAACTCGTCCAGCCCACCGGCATGATCCAGGTGGAGATGCCCGATAATGATCTTGCGGATATCCTCGATGCGATGGCCGGTGGCCTCGACGGCGGCGCGCAGCTCATGGCGGGGCTCGTAGCGGACGCGCGCGAAAATGTCGACCGCCACCGGGCCCCAAACCTCGGGGTAGTCCTTTCCACTACCGGTTTCCCAAAGAATCAATCCTTCGTGGGGATGGTCGATCAGGACGCAGTACATGGGCATCTCGCAGCGTTCGTTCACGAAGGAGCGGTGCTCGGTGGACTTGAGGCTGGTGTTGCCGCCGCGGACGACGAAGCCCTTGTCGCATTCCAGCCAGCCCACTTCCAGGAGGTGGAACTTGGTGCCCGGCGGGCAGATATTCGAGATGGCATTGGGGACGGCGCCTTGGTCGAGCTGAGCTTGTATGGCGGACATAATAAATTGGGGGACGTTCAAAATTTATACATCAGCAGTCAAACGACATCGAGGAGGAGTTGTGTTGCGTGTCGTGCGCAATCTCATGTGCTTTGGTTCCTATATGTGAGAGCTGACCCGCGCTGTTACCCCGCACATTGTGTAAAGATGATCATTGATCATCAGAGTGCGGGGTTCCAGTGCACCAGTCCAGGAATTACTCCTTCGAGTACACACTGGTAGGACTCCATGAAGCTCGCTCCATTCAGTACCTACTCCTTGCAGTATTTTGGGGCTTTGAAAACACTACCTATGCTCTTGAAGGTACTACTGGCCTTTATGCTTCGAAGTTGTTAATCAACGTTATCATCTAGCTACGAGTTATCTCAAGTTCACTAGGATTGTAAAGCTCTTGTAATTTTTGCAACCAGGACAGCTTTTGGTCCCTCTGTTGCAATAGTCATTTGGATCTCGAAGCTCGGAGACATGGAAGCGACAAGGAAACTGCCGTGGCGTCACAGACTGGTGACAAGTGGGGTCGATGGAAAAATTGGGAATGTCGGGACTTCGGGACTTCGGAATTTGGGGATTTCGGGATTTGGAGAATTGGGGAATTGGGGATTGGGGGATTCCCCCTCCACCAGCTGCTTGCAATGTAGTCATAAGTTGTAACTACTACCAATACAAGACAATCCATCTTTGCTTTAATTTTGAATCAACGTTTTGCTCTCTGCCTTTCCCCGCTCCACCACCCCCCGAGAAAGGTGCCCTGACTCGTCCATCAAAAATGCCCCGTACACTCTCCGACCTCAAGCGCAAGGATCTCTTCCAAACACAGGGGTTCATCGCTCATCAATGGGTCGATTCCACCAGCGGGTCAACCTTCGAGGTCCGCAATCCGGCGACGCTGGACCTCCTAGCCACCCTGCCAGAAATGAACGCAGAAGACACCAATCAAGCCGTCCAAGCCGCCTACGAGGCATTCAAGACCTTCAAGAAGACCAGCGCCCGCCAAAGAGCCCAGTGGCTACGAAGATGGTACACGCTCTGCCTCGAGCACCAAGATGACCTCGCCCTCATCCTGACCCTGGAGAACGGAAAACCCCTGGCCGAAGCTAAGGGGGAAGTCGCCTACGCTTCCTCGTTCCTGGACTGGTTTGCCAGTGAAGCGGAGCGGACGTATGGGGAAGTCGTCCCTCCTGCCAACCCCCGTCAACGAATTATCACAATCAAAGAGCCCCTGGGGGTAGCCGCCTGCCTGGTCCCATGGAACTTTCCCTTGGCGATGATCACCCGCAAAGTGGGGGCTGCCCTAGCAGCTGGGTGCACGACCGTTTGGAAACCCGCCGGCGAAACGCCGCTGAGTGCCCTCGCCCTCGCAGTCCTCGCCCAGGAAGCGGGCCTGCCCGCCGGCTCAGTCAATGTGCTCACCACCCTCAACAGCGTCGACGAGGTGGGGTCCGCCTTATGCGAGCACCGCTTGGTACGCAAGCTCAGCTTTACCGGGTCGACACGCGTGGGTAAACTGCTCGCGCAGAAGTGCAGTGTCAATCTCAAGAAGCTGTCGCTCGAGCTGGGTGGCAACAGCCCGTTCATCGTCTTTGACGATGCTAAACTAGAAAACGCCGTGGATGCCTTCTTGCTGGCCAAGTTCCGAAATGCGGGGCAGACCTGCGTCACGGCCAACCGCGTCTTTGTCCAGGAGGGCATCTACGATCGCTTTGCTGCCGCTCTGGTGGAACGTGTCAAGACTTTGCGAGTCGGCAATGGGGTGGTCGACGGAGTGACCATCGGCCCTTTGACGCACGAGCGCGCGGTCGATAAAGCTGTTAGCCACATCAACGGTTCGTTCACCTCATTCCCGTAAGGTGTCGAAGCTGCTAATTGGTGTCTATGATTACAGATGCCACCTCCAAGGGCGCCTCCGTCCTGCTGGGCGGTGCTCCCTGCCAGCCCGGCGATCTCAAGGGTTACTTCATGCAGCCCACCATCCTGAGCAATGTCACGCCGGAGGCGCAAGTGACCCGCGAAGAGACCTTTGCGCCGGTGGTTGCATTGTACTCCTTCAAGACCGAGGAAGAGGTGATTGAACGAGCCAATGACTGCGACGTGGGTCTAGGCAGTTACGTCCTCACCGAGTCCATCTCGCGCATGTGGCGAGTGGCTGAGAGCCTGGAGGTCGGTATGGTAGGCGTCAACCTGGGCGTGCTGAGTGCGTGCGAAAGCCCCTTTGGAGGCGTGAAGGAGTCGGGCTACGGGCGCGAAGGAAGCAGCCATGGCATTGACGAGTATCTATCCGTGAAGAGCATCCTGATTAGTGTATCGGATTGATTTGACGGGCGAGAGGATGGATTCACCTGCTGGGGAATCCATGATATCAGTGTTTCCGGAAATGCGACGGGGAATTGAAAGCATCCTATGTACTGTACAACCGTGCAGCAGCTAAGCTGTCTTGGGCATAGAACATGGTGGTCGCTGTGCGAGTTATGACATTTTCCAATGGATAGATGTGATTAAGTAGCGTAAGACCTAGTTTAGCTGGGCAGAAGACACGAAGTGGCTCCCACCAGCACACCTATAGCCCGTCGCTTGTTTAATCCACCTGAATCCCACGGGGCAAACACCCATCTCTTGCAATTTCTGCTGGGCAGCCTCCTCCTGCTTCTTCCGCTCCTCAATCTCGACTCTTTCTCGGGCCAGGCTTCGGAGCTGCTCCTCATACTCGCGTAGTTCGTCACCATCCGCCTCAGTGGCACTACTCTTCAGCTGCCTCTTGATACTCTCCTCTCGACGAAGAGTTTCTGCATCACGGTTGCTCTGCTCCTCGCTGCGCTTTTTATCCGCTTGTAGTTGCATCCAGACCTCGTCAGAAACCCCCGGATCGCGACCCTCGTCTGAACAAAGATTGCCGGAAGCAGGCGCAGATGTGTCATCAGCTGCGGCGCCAGAGCGAGCCTGGTTCCTGACAGCAAAGACGGACGATTTAGAGAAAGAGGGGGCTGAGAACGGCGCGACCTTTGCTGTCAAGGATCCATCTCTGGTCTGAGGAGTCTTGGTGGCCGTCGCTCGAAGCCGCCGTTCCTCAATTGTCGATTCAAGAACGTCGATTACCATCGCTTGGGTAAGTGCTAATCCCTTGTCTCCCGCATCCTGTGGGCACGAGAAGACCTTTCGAATAATTGCGTCAGAAATGGTCTTGACGTCCCGACCATTTCCCCACCCAGGCAGTGTGGATAGATATTCAAGGGAGGCCAAAATATGAGACTTGAATTGATCGTCAGGGTCATGAACCGTCTTTTGATCGACTCGATCGAGCTGTCCCAGGCTATCCCGCAAGAGTACCCAGCACTGAGAGACAGTAAGATTTTGGAACGAGACCGTTTCTGAGAACCGGCTGGTCAGACCAGGATTGGATGCCATCAGACGATTGATCTCTCCCTCATACCCGGCCAATATAACAATCAGCTTCTTGTGGAACTTCTCTTTCGTCAAACGATCGACCAGCTCATCCATGGCCTCTTTACCAAAGGTCCCGTCAGCGAGTCTGTACGCTTCATCGATGAAAAGAACTCTGCCCAGTCCCTTCTCGAGAAGCCGCTCAGTCTTGGGACCAGTCTGTCCAACATACTGTGCAACAAGATCAGAGGCCGATGACTCGATGACCTCGGTTGTGGCCAGAATGCCCATATCGTAGAAGATCTGACCCATGCGTCGCGCTGTCGACGTCTTTCCGGACCCTGGAAGTTCTGTCAGCAATGCCACATGCGCCAGACGCAGAACGCAAAACATATCCCATACCCGGAGGACCACGGAACAGAAAGTTGAATGGAATATTCTGTCGGGGATCCAACCCCAATCGCTTCATGTTCCGAACCACATTTTGATAGCCCTCGAGCTGCGCCACCAGGTGCTCGCTGCCCACAACTCCTTCGAAAAGCTTCCGGCAGTTGGTAACGGCTTTCTGCTCTCGGTCATAATCGGGGTCAAAGTCGAGCGGCTCCAAGATGTCAATGTTTCTGGTTTTCCGCGCAGAAAGCCGCTGCTGGTGTCGTAGTTTGGCCTTGTCTAGATGGATGTCCACCTCCCCAGCATTACCAAAGTTGGGTCGGTTCCGGGCGCGAGCCAGGCATTGGCGAACAATCAGCTTTGCATCCTTGGTGGCATGAAAGCCTGCTTGCTTCAATTTGAGAGCTAGGATCTCTTGAAGGTCATCATCACTGAAGTCCTGGAAGTCAAACGCAGTGCTCATAGGGAACCGTCGGGAGAGTCCTTCGTTCACTCTCTGAAACATCTTCTCCATTGCGTCCCTGTATCCGAGAAGCAGAACACACCGGTCATCGCCGGGGACGCTTTGCACTTCCGCAACTAGGGTGTCAATCACAGCCACCTTGTATATATCGGGGCCTCCGATCGGTCCAGACCCCGAGGAACTACCACCAAGCATGTAAGCCTCGTCGATGACAAGCACTTTGCCAAGAGTGGAAGCCAAGATGCCCTTTGTCGCAGCCTCAGAGCCGCCAATGACGTTGCCGATGAAGTCGGATGGATTCTTGACAACAACTGTTGCGGTAAGCAAAGTCAGTGGACACGGTCTGTGAACGGCCGGCCGGTGGAAATGAGAGGGTTGTGATCATTACCTTCTCCGTTGGACAGGTATCCCATATCTGCCAAGAGCTTTCCATAAAGCTTTGCGACGGTGGTTTTGCCAGTGCCGGGGTTGCCTACGAATACTTTGTTCAGAGAAAATTCCACTAAGGGTTTCTCTGCTAGTTCACGCGCATAGTTGAACTGGACTGTGTCAAATAGCGCTTCTACCGACTGCTTGACACTTTGCAGACCGGTCAAGGCTTGAAGCTTGCCCCACGTAGCATTCTTTTTCAGCACTGTTCGCGGATCTGGTCCAAGAAGATCTGTACGGCTTGCCTCAGCAGCAAAGAGGGCAGTTCGGGGCAAATTCAAGCTCAAGTAAAAGAAGCAGTGGGCAGCCGAGCACGTTGTAGCACCCACACAAAGACTTATTAGGGCTATATACAGCCGGAATCTATAGCTGTATAAAATATTATTGAAAATATATACCGCAGTAATTGTATAAATACAAACAGAAAGAATTAGACTTGTCTATTTTCTTTAAAAAATTAAAATATATAAAACCAGAAGATATTTATATCAGTAGATCTGTCTATAAATACCGCAGTATGTACTGTTTGAATATACGCGGTTTGTAGTAGACCGCAGGATTATATATATAAAAGTTTTAACTATAAATATTAGAAAAAAATAAAAACTAGGCCTCGCCAAAGCCCGCGGGTTCACAGGTCGGGTCCAAACCCAACCTGGTTCTTAGCGGGTTTTGGATCGATGGGCTTAATCTGTGGGTTAGATATAAGTTTAAATATCTAATTTATAGATTTTGAGTAGATATTTATGGATTATTAAACTAAATAAATATTATATAATTAGTAGATTATATAAGTTATATAATTTTAGCTATATTTTTAAAGTATTATATTTATATTTAAAATGATTTAGTAGAAAAGATATCTAGTTATATATAAATTTATAATAATAGAAATTAAAGAATTAGATTTATTTATATATAATATATATCTAATATAAGATAAATTAATTATTATTATAATATAAATATTTTTTAACTCTTTCTAATATTTATAATTAAGTTAGTTCTAGATATTATAAAATAGAAAGATATATTTTATAATAAATATAAAAGATTCTATCGGAAAATAATATATCTTTTTAAAAACTGTTTTATATTATTAATAACTTTTTTTAACTAAAGATAAATAATAGTTTCTAAATATATATATAAGTTTTAAAAAAGATTATCTTTCACTACTAATTCTAAAAAATAGAAATTTTATCTTAAAAAAATAGATATAAAATAATTTTTTGATTTTTTGTAATATATATAATCTTAAGATTTAGAAAAAATAAAAAAAGCTGGCTTAAAAAACTTATTTTAATTTAAAAATTATTCCAATTTATAAAAATCTAAGAAATAGAAAAAAAAGACTTAATACTATTTTTTAAAAATAGACTAAATAGCTATAGTTAATTTATAACTCTAAGACTATTTTATAAATAGTAGATATAAAAAAATAGAAGTAGAAAAACTTTATAAAAATACTATTATTTTAGTTATAAATATACTTTTATATAAATATAATTTATTATATTTTTATATATTACTATAAATATTTGTAGTATTTTTTAAATCTGGCTGTTTTATTAATAAAGAATTATATTTAAAGTCTAGAAATATAAAGAATATTTTTTTTAAATAAAGCTTAATTAACAAAATAGATCAAAGTATAAAAAAGCTTTAAAAAAAGCTTTTATAAAAATCTATCAAAATTTAGTATTTTAATATCTGGTTTTTAATTAGATAGTTTCTAATAAACATAATTACTAATAGAAATTAAGTAGATAAAATAATATAAATTTAATTTAAAAATTTAATTTATAAAATATAATTTAGTTTTTATAAATAAAAAAAACAGATTAATAAACTATTTAAACTAAAATTAAAAAAATTAAAAATAAACTAAAAACTTTATAATTATTTTTAATAGTCTAACCAGAAGTAAATATATAGTTTTAGTAGTATAATATATTATAATTAAAATATACAGTCTAAATAAAATTATAATTATATATTTTTTTTATATTTTATACTATAATAGTAACTAATTTTTAAAAAGCTGAATTTTATTAAGATTATTAGGATTTTCTTATTATTTTATAAAAATATAAATAATAAGAATACTATTTCTTCTTTAAATTATTTTCATTTTATTTAAAAAACTTTTTTTATATATTTTTTAGTAATAGTTTAGATAATTAGATTAATAACTGCTTAATTTGAATATATCTTAACTATACTAAAACTAAAAAAATATAATAAATAAATCTTAATATTAAAAATAATTCAAATAGTTGATTATCCGGTTTTTAGCTATACTACAGTCAGATATAAAAATTTTCTTAATCTAACCATAACCTGGCGGTCAGATATGTAAATTCCAATTAACCTGATCTGACCTGGCTGTTAGCCACTCTACTATAAACTTTATATTATAAATAATATTTTATTAATTAATTAAAAGATTAGATATAATTTTATTAAAAAAAAGAACTAAACTACTATTAAAAATATCTAAATAATTATTTTAATATAATAATAAATAAATATTAGTAAATTAAAATATTTTAAATGAAGAGTTATTAAAATTAAGATTATAAACTTATAATAAAAAAAATCTTCTAAATTAAAAAAAAAAAATTTTTATTTTATATTTTAATCTCTAAGTTAATAGTCTATATTAAAAAAATTAATTTATTTAAAAATAATAAGAAATTAAAGCTAATTAAATTATAAAATAAATAAATAACCCGTAAATAATCTATAAATTAAACAGCTTATCTACTAAAAATCTATAAAATCTATAATTTTTCTACTAAAAATTCTTTTAATCTATTTATATAAATCTAGTAAAGCAGATAAAATAAAAAAATAATAAATATTAAAAAAATAAATATCTTAGCTTTATATTATAATATTTAAAAAGATTTATTAGTTAAGTAATATTTATAAAATATAATATAAATATATTTTATTAAATAATATAAATTAAAAAATATAAAAAATAGAATTATTATCTAATCTAACAAGTTTATAAAATTACTTGCTTTATAAAATATATGTTTATAGCTATATATAAAAAAATCCTATTAATAATACTAATATTTTAATTTTAATATTTTTATTAATTATTTTTATAGATAGAAGTAGTAGTTTATACCAGTATAAATCAGATTTTAAATAAATTTTATATAAATATAATAATTTAAAAATAAGAACTATTATTATAAAATCTTAATAATTATATAAAATAAAAAAATAAAAATTAGATTAAATTATTTAATATTTTTATATATTTTAGTATAGTTTAAAAAGAAATTTTATATTTAAATAGATTTCTAACGGGTAACCCGCGGGTTAATATATCTAATCTATAAATTGGTAGGTTTAGGTCTTAGATCCAGGATTCAGATCCGACCTATAGATACAGGTCCTGATGTTAGACCCAAACCCGACCCGTGGCAAGGCCTAATAAAAACTATAAAACAGCCAGCTTACTAACTATAATACTCTAATATCATACCCGTAGACTATCTACTATATAGCTGAATTTATATTTAAAACAGATCTTCTTAGCCAGTTCAGCTATATTAGTATAGCTAAAACTACTAAAAACAACAAACCAATAGGCCTTCGGGTAATAAATATAAATACTAAAAACACTGTATAATTAGACTAAACAACCCGTGGTCACGGGGATAGTATAAAGTAATAAAAATATACAAAAAAATACTAAAAATAGCCGCTGAAGCTGTTAAAAATAAAAGCCGATAGGAATAATACTTAATATTTTTAGATTTATAGAATATTACAGAGTGTATAGATATATTCTTAGTATCCATCATCTTTATAGCTAGCCGTAATAGACGGGCTGAGCCTCTCACGAGGCTCCTTAGGTTAATAGAACAGGAAGTGAATTGAATTGAATGGAATTGGTCCAAGAAGATCTTCTTTCGTCAGAAGCAGATCATCAGCAGGTCTCTTGAGTCGACGTTGCCGTTGTAGTCGTTTGGCCTGGCGCTCCGTGATGCGTGCAAAAACGTTGTTCACTGCTCGAGCATTTCCGAATCCTTCACGGCCACGCCCACGGCCGACACGGCGGGCGACAATCCGCATATAGAGCCCGCCAGTGCCTTCTTCGACCCTCATGCGTCCATTGTATTTCTTGTGCATGTGGTGCTGGAGAATGCTTTGAAGCTCCTCGTCTGAGTAATCTTTGAACTGAAGTTCGACTGGGAACCTACTTGGAACACCGGGATTATGAGCGAAAAAGCTTTCCATGTTCTTGTTATATCCGGCGATGATGAACACAACCTTCCTGGTCAGGTTTTCGACTTCTGCCAGCAGAAAGTCCAGAACCGAGCTCCCCCCGGTACTGTTCCCAGATGTTAGCTGATAGGCTTCATCGATGAACAGTGCCCCTCCCCCATTCGACTTGATCTCTTCAAGGTGTTTCTGACAACCCTGGACACCACCATTTGCTAGCTTGGACCCCGAGGTCTCAACGAAGAAGCTACCGGGGATGACGCCAACCATGCTCAGAAACCGAGCATACAGTCGTGCCACGGTTGTTTTTCCGGTACCTGGATTTCCAAGAAGGGCTGCGCCAAACCGCTCGGCCGCAAGACTAGCACCTTGTCGAACCACCACATCCACCTTGGCCTTGATACCAAGGAAGCTTTCCTTGACACTCTCGAGTCCGATCATGTCCATCAATGTGTCCAGAGCTTCATTTGACTGGCCTTCGTCCTGTTTCTGCCTCTGCCATTCATCTCGTGCTTCCGACTGCAATGGTATCATCCTGGTGCCATCTTCGGGTTGTGGATCGGCAGGGAATGCCCCTGGCAAGGCAGTCGGTGGGCAAGCGCGAGTACGATCGGCAGCTGCAGTCAGGCTTTTGAGCTCCTCTTCCTTTCGAGCAAGAGCGTCGCGACGATCCTGATTCCCTTGTTTGTCCGTCAAGACTTGTCGCTGCTGTCTGATTCTCTCTTCGATTTCACTAAGCTTCTTCGCGTGCTCCAGCTGGGTCGCTCGTCTTTTTGCTTCTAGTTTTGCATCCTCGCGTTTTCTCCTCTCAGCTTCGACTGCTTCCTCGAGACATGTAGGGCAGGTCCTCGGGGCTCCTTGATAGCATTCCCAGTAATACTTGTGATTCTTGGGACACGTCTGTTCCATTGTCCTAGTGCATTTTATTCTGCCGTGGAACTCAGCTCGATGGCACCGTCTAGTACAAGAATGGATTCCGCAGGCGAAGACAGCCGAGCTGTTGTGAGCCTGTCAGTCCCCGCCGAAGAGGGCTTTCTTTGATCATGGAAGAATGGGTTGACATACCACGGGTCCGAGCAGCCTCCGTCGGGACATGCTGTATCGAACTCCTTGGGCGATCGGATCACAACCTGGCGATCAGGATGTCTCTCGCATTTAAGCGGAAATCCAGCATACACGTGGCCATGTCTCCTGAGCATCTCAAACAGTGGCTGCCATGTGAGATGTCCTTTGCGGCTCTTGAGGAATGTACCTCCGTTTCCGATCATCACCAGGGCATTTAGTGCGCGGGAGAGGAGAACATTCACACGCTCGGGAGCCGCCATGAACCCGATGTCTCCCGTCTCGTTGCTTCTTGTGAGGCTTGCAACAACAATATCCCTCTCTTCACCTTGGTAGTTATCTGTTTTTAAGGATCACTGTCAGTGACCACGGTTCCTAGGAGACAATACCCCTTCACATACCTATGGTTGAAATACGAATAGGACTTTTCAAGACCTTGGGGCTTCCGAGTGTCAGCAGTCCCGCTTTTAGCAGGTCGTTTGAATCCAAGTCGTTTAACAACGGATCATTGGTTTTGCTCAATTCCGTCCGCAAAAGAAACAGCTGGCCTAGGTACGGTGTCAGGATGACCATGTCGTCTGTACCATATCCTTGCTGGCCCAGATACTTGACAACCTTCAAGACCATTTCGACCTCATACAGATTCTGCTTGCTGGTCTTCATACTTGGATCTCTTCTCTCAGAGATGTCACGAAGCTCACGCTCTGGGTGGCAGTGGTCAACAAACACAATATTTTCCTGAAATCCGCGGAGTCTGGGTCGCTTGAGTGTGCTCTCGGAGTCCTGAAGCTCGGGGTAGGTAAGCTGTCGGACCAGCCGTGAGAGCTCCGGACGCATTCGATGCTGCTTCGCAAGGGAGGTGTGCGGATAGCCCTGGGCGATGAGTCGTTCGAAGAGTGACCGATTGAGGTCGAAGCCATCGCCCTTCTCGACGGACAGATTGTAGTTGTTCACCTTCGGCCGCAATTGCTTATGATCGCCGATTAGCACCAGCTGCTTGGTGTCCAGGGTCATAGCCGTAAGGATGTGACTTTCCAGAATTTCCCCGGCCTCCTCGACTATCACGATGTCGGGTTTAGCCACCCGGAGAGCTCTGGCATACCTGGCCGCCGCGTTAGTCGTACACGCCACAATGCGCTTTGCTTCTAGCACCGCAGCATGCCGTTTGTGATAATAGTATTCGTCGAGGTCCGTCGCCAACTGATTAAACCTCTTGATGAGCTCCACAAGCTTGTCGCATTTTTCATGAAGGAGACTGTTGCGCCATTTGCCGACCATCTCTTTGCGCTTTAAGGGCGCCAGTTCCCAGATGTAAGCGTGGTGGGCACTGATCCGGTCTCGAAAAATGCCGGCATCTCTTCCATGTACCCAGGCATCCCAGAGGTAGTACCTATCGATTTTCCTACCATGCCTTCCGACTTGCTTCATGCCGTCATGCTGATCAGGAATGGTAAATGCGTCAAACAAGTCGCTTTCATCCGAGAACTCCAGATACTCGAGAATGTCGTCTGTGGTTATACTATCGCCGTTGAATTCCAGTGAGCACGACTTTAACTCTTCGGCTGCCTGATTAAGATCTTCCCTCTTTTTAAGAACAAAAGACCATGAATCAGTGACAGAAGTGCCTATTGACTGTTCGAAAAGTCCCAGGTGCTTGGTTCGCGGCGTCGACCTGGCCCCAAGCCGGACCATGGACGATTCCGGGATGCCAATATCCAACAGGTTTTCCAGGAATTGATCCAGGGCGTGATTGGTGTAGCAGATGACCATCATCGTCTTACACGTCTTATCATGCAAAATCTTCGCGATCAATGCCCCGAGATATGACTTTCCAGTTCCTGCGATGGCATGGATTATTTCGCTGCGGTCGGACACATATTAAGCGTTCATGTAAACTCACCAGGTGGCCCCTGAATTGTGCTTACGCTCTGCTGCAGCCCATTCAAGAGCGACTGAAGCTGCGAGTCATCCAATGATACCTTCATCTCAGTGGCAAGAATGGCGTCCAGTGACTCGCCGTTCGTTGTTTGGATCTGACCAACCATGGTTGCAAGATTGTCGTCCAACGTCAAAAGCTCTGGCTTTGGCTCCGACGCAAGCAGTATTTGAGAGAGTGGAAACTCCATCACCTGCTGTAAACGTTCGAGGATCGGTTCGTAAGCGAAGATTGGTGTATTAACAGGGAGGAAGGTGAAGGCCGGGCCCATCTTGGCGCATGTAAATACACGTGTGAGTGCATCGGTGCCAGACACTACCAGGGCGAGAGTGGGAAGATCATCAGGCAGGTCTGAGGACCCGCGATCAAGGGTTACAAATGCGACAATATCCATTTTGCTCAGCAAGCACCCAAATGCCTGGTGCCTAAATATGTGTGGGTTGTCATCGAGCAATTTCTTGCGATCCGCTTTGGGCAGGCTAGACAAGTGTGGCAAACCCTTCGTGCAGGCAAACTCAAGATAGCAGGTCCTTCTTCGGTCGTCGGTGCCACAGCCAACTCCTGTCAAACATAGCCCACGGACCGGGGGGGCAGATCTCCTTCCTTTCTTCTGACCGCGAGCGATCTGGAGATCATTGCGCAGCTCGGCGAGAAGGTCTTCTCTCAACAGGCGAAACTGGTTATCGTAATGCGTTACAGCCCGTTGTGCTTCGGAGACGTTGTAGACATCGCACATCCGCCTGTAGTACGGAATTTCTACTGAAGCGATTTCATCCGGGGTGGGCAAAATCGAGATTTCCCGGAAGTCTTCGAAGTCGTTGTCGTGCCTCCCTCCTGGTCGGTAGCTATCGTCTAGATCCACCTTGGTCCTGATGGTCTTCGCAATGTTCTGGATTCGATATCCGATAGTCCTGACTTCCTGGAAGGTTGAGTCGAGGAAACTCTGCGTGATGTTCTCGGCAGTGTCAATAAAATCGGAAGAGCACCCTGGGGAGCTGAACAGCTTCAGAAGCAACCAGGCAAAGCTTAACTCTGCGTGCTCACTGAGTTTCTTCGAGGTGTGAGCTTGCAGGAATACTGTCCAGAAGGTGCGAGGATTGGTGATGCAGGAGACAAGCTGGCGGAGAAATTGTCCATTGCCAAAGCTCTCAATGATCGGGTTTCGTATATAGCTCAAGAACTCTGCGGCCGAAGTGTTGACAAACTCAGTCGATGAGTCGACACGGAAACTGTTCTGCAGTGCCTCAAGAAGACTTGGAGAAGCAAGCACCCTCTCAATACAGCGCAGAGAGTCCTCTTGCGCGGAAAGTGACTCTAGGAACAGCTTGGCATCGGCGGACCTTTCTACCCTTCTCTTGCCTTTCTCGATGAGCGATAGATATTTCGTGAGGCGGTCTGAGCGAGTAGCCATTTCGTGGAACATTCACCTCGAGCAGTTCTATACAGGTGGGTATAGCATGAGGCGGAGGAGAGGAAGCAGAAGGCCACTGATGTGAAGGAAGGATTGGGTTGGAACAACCCCGCCCCAGACCAACGCACCATTGGAGGTTGGGTGAGGGTTTAGATGTCACAGTGGCGCAATTGGCTGGAAACCGGCATTTGGGCCTTCATGTGACACAAAGAAAGTCTTTCGTTCTTCGTCTCTTCTGCTTCCGTTCGCTCCATGCTCCCTGACTCTCGCGGCCCGATGGGGTTCTTCGATGAACAGATATATTGACTTCTTGTCGATTGTGATCGCCAGCGATAATGTTGAGAGCTCCAACAGGACGTTACAGAGCCAGCTTTCGTGGCGGTTCGCGACGGGGCCGGCTTGGGCTTGGTCACCAGACGCGCAAACCAGAACCGGTCTACGAGTCCCCGGCCCCTCCATGCGGTCCACTACTTGTGGAGATCGAGCAATATAACCTTGGAAGATCTCAAGAGAGTCCTCGGATTACCTCACGCGAGTACTTGACCTCGTACACATGGTTGGGGCGCGATTCGCCGTCAATCATAATTCCGGGTATAGCTTTCGATCCCCGGAGTGCTGAACTTGAGACTTCAACGCTAACAAACCCCATGTCGCTAGGCGAGCCACCTGTCTGGACTCCCCCAACCGAGGACAGGCAACTCCAAGCCGACTGTGGCGAGTATTTACGTGACCCAAATGCTGCTAGATATCCTGCCTATCCATGGGAGGCGGCCTTTACAGCGATCGAAAAGCAGTGTCCCGAATATGATCTCGCCAACACCGATATTGTGACCTGCTCCAGTACTTTGGGCAATCTCAATCGTTTTGCCCGAGGGGTCGACAAAAGCTTCAGGTTTGTCCTAGAAACGGTGGGCGACACCGTTTTTTTCATTAGACGGGAGAACTCGCCAACCGACTTGATACCTGATGTTCGAGGGTACGGGCACACATTCCTGGACGAGTACACAATTTGGAGGCCTGGTCTTGCCGGTTCAGAGTCCCATCAACGAATCATTCAGTATGACTTTGGTGGCCTTCATTTCCTCGTTCGTTTTGAGTCGGACGGATACATCCCAGAGAAGAAGATGCAACAACAAGAGTGCCGTAGCTCTGACAGTGAAAGAAGAATGCCATATGAAACTCTGGAGGCTGAAGTTGACAGTCTGGTAAGTAAGCTCGGAGGAGACCACACTGTGGAACCAGCCCAAAGCTCCGGAGATTTGAAAGTTCGCGAAGGAGGACGGTCGATCTCCCAGAGCGCCATCATTGACATCAAGACACGCTCAATGTTTGACTTCCAGACCCGTACCGTGAGAAAAGAGATCGATATGACAGATCTGAGTCCTCGCCTCTGGGTGTCACAGATCCCAACTCTGGTCGTGGCGTATCACGACCGGGGTTTGTTCACTGATATTCGGGTGCAAGACATGCGAGACCAAATCACGCAATGGGAGCGAGACAAGCAAGAGCTACTGAAGCGGCTGGCATGGGTTCTTCATGAGCTTGTGCAGTATGCAAAAAGCTCAATGACTCGGCTTGAAGTGTGCCGAACGGATTCCGGGCCTCTTCAGATCCGTCGAGTGATTGGAGACGCTCCGGTAGCTTTGTCTCCTGGATTGAAGGCCCGGTGGACTGAAGAGGACGACCTAGAGTCTTCGGGTGATGAAAGCTTTTCCTCGCACGATGACAGTTTTTCTGACACACATGGTGATGCGCATCTGTCAGAGCGTCGATTCAACCATGATTTGAAGGACTATACAGCATCCTCTTCGGAATAGCGTGGCAGCAGGTCACCGAGTTGTGCTCCGCGGTGGCGGAAGGCCATCCCGAGCACCCAATGCTAATGAGACTAATGTAGCTGTTAACTGAAGCGTTGTGATTTCAAATTGCACAAAGTACAAACTCAACCGAATCTTTACTAGCTACCATACACTTCAGCACTCTTCGCATACGGGGTGCGACCCGGATCAATGCCAAGAGTGAGAGCGTAGCGAACGCAACTCGCGATCGACGCGTAAGCGGCCGGGTAGATTCCTTGACCCACTTCGTACACTACAGTCAAGATTCGGACTTGTAGTCATTTAGTCATCGAGTGGAGAGTGAGATGATAATGTTTGGTAGCATCGTAGAAGTCGAAGACTGGGAGAGAAGAAGACGAAGGGTGGAGAAACAACGCGACGCGGTCGGGGAAAGGCGGCAGCCGATGAGTAAGCACCTCTTCCAGTCAAGTGACCACCACACCACAACCAAGTCAACAGCTCAACAAGGTATATCCAAAGACGTGTGAGGTTCATAAACGTCGTAGAGCTTGGCAATCATGTGGGTAAGCTACAGTGAGCTACAATGAACAGGTGTAAAGGCACCGCGTTCCAAGAGCATGGGTTCTATCTCTACATCACCCGATCGTTATATATCTCCACCGGCAGTTGCTATCGCGATGGTACAAGTACATGTTTATACTTCACGTGTGCCATCCGGTCTTCATTATAATCGCTAATCTAGGACATTTAACAAAAGTCTACAGACGAGAAAAGATTATAGCTTCCCGATTGAGTCACTCCTTCTCGTCATGTACCCATCCCAAGATCTTCTTTGCCTTGTCGGTGGCGAAGAGGGACTGGTTCCCCGACAGCTCGCCTCGAATCTCTGCGTCGGGGTAGTACTTCTTGGCCAGGTCCTTGGACGGGGTGTCCTGCGTAGTCGTTGGGGCGACGATGTTGAAGACCTCACATCCCTTCAAGTTGTCACTGTTCTCCACGGCCAACAGGCACGCTCTCGCGGTCGCCGGCGGACTGACCCAGCCCCACAGACTCTTCACGGCTGCAGTATCCCAGTTTTCTTTGTGTCCCTGCTGCGCCTCGGCTCGCGACGACACGGCATGTATGCGCATGCAGGCAATGTTCATCCCGGGGAACCACCGAGCAAACGCACGGGCCTGCAGCTCGGCTTCGTCCTTGGCCAGCGCGTAAGCGTCCGTCGGGCGGGACTCGGCCTCTTCATCGACGGGGAAGTAGTCGAACTTGAGGGGTCGGTTGGCATATTCCAGCCCGATCGCATTGACGGAGGAGGCGTAGCACACGCGCTTGATGCCCAGCTCGGCGGCAGCACGGAACCCGTTGAAGGCAGAGTTGACATTGTTGTTGTGGACGAGGTCGTCGCCCTTGTCGACGGGGTCGGGAATCGCGGCCAGATGAATGACGGCGTCGCAGCCCTGGAAGGCGTTGAGCGTGGCCTGGTAGTCGTTGGCGGTATCCGCCGTCTTCATTTCCGAGTTAGGAGTGCCATCGTACTCCGTATCGGTGCGGTCGACCTGGACGGTGGAATGGCCGGCTTTCGAAGCCGCCTTGACGACCTCACGCCCGACTGTGCCGCGAGCACCGGTGATGGCGATTCTCATGTCGAACGGGTTTGTGTGGGAGAAGCTTCGTGCGTTTCGTGCGTTTCGTGCGGGAGATAAGCGGAGAGGAGGGATGATTCGAGCGACGATGGGAGGATTCAGAGCGATTCGAATGGAATGGAGGGAGATTTGACAATGCATGGAAGAGAAGGAGGAGGCGGTGGTTGTTGAGGCCTCAATGATGAGGGGCCATCAGGGAGGCTCATAAGCATGGCTCAGGTCCATGACGCGAGAATGATGGTAGCGAGAAGGGATGCGTAGAGTGGATGAGAGGCAGTTAACAATGCATGACGACAAGATGACTGTTGGTAGGTTTTCTTATCGCGCGCGCGCGAGAGAGAGAGAGAGAGAGAGAGAGAGAGGAAAGTGGAGATGGTTGTGGAAGGGAAGAGTGGAAACCAAAAGCTTTCGGGAAGCTGACATCATTTCCAGCTCCACCGCCCATGCATAATTACTCAGCAGATGCTATGCTGATGCGCTGCAATTGCCTTTATGCGTTGCATAAGTGTATGCTGGGCCCAGCCTCTTGCCTATGTGACATGCAAACATGCAAGCATGCAAGCATGCAAGTCAATCAATGATTGTGTATGCAATCCATACTATGCCAATCCCGTGCGATAGCAGACCAAGCACCTTATCCAGTAGTCCGACCATGGCACCTATGTCAAGAGTCAGCACTAGGCGATAAGTTACGGGCTGACCCTCTCGTAAACCCTCCTCGATTAGTGATCCGGGATCTGCTCCTGCTTACCCAGATTAGTGATCGTCCAGCACGCCATGTGTATAGGACGAATGTTCGCTATATATAGTTCTAGTAACGGACTCGTCAATAGTTCGAATCGACTACACTCTCATCTACTCACCTCTCTTCTCTCACGGATACTTAGACCGATACCGACTTTCTCACCATGAGCGAACAGGGCTACAAGAATATCATCCTCGTCGGGGTATGGCCGCCTGTCTGATACCAGAAATCTTTGCTAATCAGTCTGCACAGGGAGGTGGCTCACTGGGAAGTGTTCTGCTCAAGTCACTACTGTCTGAGCCAACATTCAAAGTCAGCGTTCTCACCAGAGAGTCATCTAAAGCCCGCGCCAGTCTTCCATCCACTGCCAACATCATCACCATCCCGGACTCTTACCCCCAGGAAGACCTGATCAAGGCCTTCCAAGGCCAAGATGCGGTTGTCAATGCCATCACAAGTTTCTCGGTCGCCGAGCAGCTGAAGTTCATTGACGCCGCCATCACCGCGGGTGTCAAGCGCTTTGTGCCATCGGAATACGGGTTGGATAACAACACCCCCGCTGCACAGGAACTCTCTCCAGTTTTCAAGGACAAGGGGCAAGTGCAAGCGTACCTCCGGTCGAAAGAGGCCAATGGCCTGACTTGGACGGCCATTGCTTGTGGCATGTGGATTGGCTGGTACGTGCTCCCTTCACTCAGCAAGATTCGTCGCTAATGAAGGTAGGTCCCTTCGCAATAACTTCCTCGGTCTGGATTACTCCAACCGCACCATGACTTTGACCGATGACGGCACCGGCAAGTTCTCGACGACGACCCTCGATAACACCGCCCTCACGCTGAACCGGATCCTGCTGAACCCCAGCTCTACCGCCAACCAGATCGTCTTCACCAGTGACTTTGCCACCTCCCAGAAGGAGCTCGTGGAGACCATTGAGCGGCTGACCGGGGAGCAATGGCAGCGCAAGTCTATCAATACCAAGGAGCTGATCCCCACTCTCAAGGCCGCGTGGGAGCAGGGTGACGCTTTTGCTGGCTACGGCCTGATCAACATTGGGTTCACACAGGGCGAATACAGTGGTCACTTCGAACCCGTGCGGCCGGTGCGCAACCAGGAGCTCGGATTGCCGGAGAGGCATTTGGACGAAGTGGTCAAGGAGGCACTCGCTGAGGTCGGACATCCAGGATTCTGATCGCTCTAACAGGCTCGTCATTTGTGGGATTGTGACCATCTGGCGTTTCAGGATATTGTCGGGAGCTTTAACTCACGTGCACATCTTCATTTTATAAGATATAGACCTTGCCTTTCGAAGATGGCAATGTGGTTACGAACTACTTCAGATCTTGTGTTGAAATTCAAATAAATGTCGGGCGGAGGGTCGCCCTGATGCAGCACAGTGCCATTGCAGGCCTACCTGATTCTATGAAAGCCCAATGCCAGAGAATTGCCAAGCCCGTGGTCACTTAGACACGGAACATGCGCACTTTTCATGCAGTACAAGATTTGTCCCCACCGAGTGCTTACTCCGAGCCTGTCCCAGAAGCTCCGTTGCTAATTGGGGATAGTGCCAGAGAACATTAATGAAACTGAAGTATACCTGCAAGCCACAAACACTGATTGGCCCAATGCGTCTGCCATCGAACCTCTGGATCCAGCATGACTGTAGGAGACATGCTTCTGATATTCTCCCTTTTCTGTTTATATCTAGCGATCCCCACCCTACCCGATCATCGCTCCCTTTGGATGGGGATATATGCCTCGACAGTGACTCGACATTGGTTGGTCGGAGTCCTCGAGGTAGTCGATCCTGTCTGGCAAGATGAAAACACTATTTGGCTTTGCCGGGGCAAGCTTGGCCTTAGCCTGGTCAGCCGCTGCTACGACCAAGTATGTGATCAGTTTCGGAGATTCATACACGTCCACCACCTTTAATATCACCGGCACCAAGCCCTCCGCTGCGAACCCGCTCGGAAACCCTCCTTATCCGGGGTGGACTGCGTCTGGAGGAACCAACTGGATCTCTGACATCGTTGCCAAATACAACAACTCCCTGCTCCTGAGCTACAATCTCGCCTATGGAGGAGCTACAGTCAATGCTTCGCTCGTTGCGCCGTATCTCCCGACGGTGTACTCCATCATTGATCAGGTAGACGAGTTTCAGGAGTATTTATCCCCACCACCTTCTTGGGCACCATGGGATGCGAAGAACACTCTTTTCGCAGTTTGGATGTAAGGCTGCCCTTGCTAGGTTGAGTGATCGACGCTCAGAAAGTATCCCATGCTGACCATACCAGAGGCGTCAACGACGTGGCAGGATCCTGGTACCAAACCAGCGCCGCCGCCTTGGAAAGGGAGATTCTGGATCAGCTCTTCGAGCAAATCGAGCATGTGTATCAGGGTGGCGCCCGTAACTTTGCTCTCTTGACTGTCCCTCGTATGCTCCCCATTCCCTGGCCCTGAAGCTCCTCTCTGACTATCTGGTGTACAGCGATCGAACGCACGCCGAACATCATGCAAGGGTCGGATCCGGATTACACGATCCCTCGCCTGAAAGCTGCCATTGAGCACTGGAACACAATCCTCGTCGAGAAAGCCGAGGCACTCGCTCAAACCCATCACGACGCCATCGTCAAGGTCGTTGACACACAGCCGGCTTTCAACAATATCCTGGACAGCGGCGGAGCCGCGGCGGACTGTTGGAATTCCGACGGCGTGACGTGTCTCTGGTTCAACGACTTTCATCCGGGGATTGTGATCCAGGATGCTGTGGCTCAGGCAGTCGCAGCTGCATGGAAGGGAAGCTTCTTTACTTGAGTCTCTTGCTCGGGGACAATACTTTATCACAACCATGGGAACGCTTACTTGATCTGACCGCTAGTCAGCCTCTAAGACACCAGATTAGTAATGAACTCTTCTCAAGAAGCAAATCTATGTTGATTTGTCAGACTCGAAAGGTGGTGTTAGGTGGTGAAGCAGCGAAGCTGACCCCCCTCCCTCCTCAATCTGAGGATAGAATTTGATGGAAGCCTGATGATTACTAATTTAATTCCCCACCCCCTTTCCCTTCCCCACAATAATAGTAAGATCACTATTAAGATACCAACTATAAGACCAACTACTCAGTAACTTACATGGTATGAACCAAGCAATCATCATCGGACTCAATCACACCATCCCCTTCCAATAACACTTCTCGCAAACATGTCTTCTACCGTGTACACCATCACCATCCCGACCTTCACCAATGGTCTCCAGACCCTCTCCCACATTCTCAAGAAGGGCGAGGAGCATGCCACCGAGAAGGGCATCGCACTTGACACCCTCCTCAACGCCCGTCTCCACGAGGACATGAAGCCCCTCTCCTTTCAGATCTTCGCCACCGTGCTCAACATCCGCAAGACCATCGCCCGCACCCAGCTCGTGGAGCCCCCCGCTCCCCTGCCCGAGGCCAAGACCTACCAGGAGCTCTACGCCAGCATCGACGCCACCCTCGCTGAGATCCAGCAGCTCACCCCGGCGGGCTTTGCCGGCAAGGAGCAGACGGCGTTCAAGGCGCCCCTGGGCGACCACGAGGTCGAGTTCACTCCCGAGTCCTACGCCCTCAACTTCGGGCTGCCCAATGTGTATTTCCACATCACGACCGCGTACGCCATCCTGCGGGCTCAGGGTGTGCCCCTTGGCAAGCTGGATTACCTGAAGAGCTTCCTTGCTTGAATGTTTGGGATCGATTGCGAGTGCTTGTTTAGTGTTTTCTGAGGTTGATCCCCGCTGCAGAAAGGCTTGTGAAGCGGGGCCTTTTGTCGATGATGATGTACATATTAAGCGAAATGAAATCTGGTTGGTATTCCATACAATATAGTTCTCCAGTAATTTTACAAGTGTAAATGGGTGTACACACCCGCGCAGCTTCCACTCTCAAGATCCTAAGGCTTCTCGGCTCCAGGTCCTCCCGGGGGTGGCTGCTGGCCTGGCATTCCTGGACCCATCCCTGGTAGAGGGGGCATCTGGCCCTGAAGCATGGCTTGCTGCCACATGGCTGGGTTCATATTCTGCCACATTTGCGCCATTTGCTGAGGTGGCTGTTGCGGCTGTTGCGGCTGCTGCGGCTGCTGCCCGTACCCGAAGCCTGCCTGCATTTGCGGCGGAGCTGCCTGGGGCCATCCCTGGGGGAACGCCTGAGGGTATCCAGGTAGTTGAGAGGGATAGCCGGGAAAGCTTGGCGGAGCTGTTGCTTGGGGCGCAGGGCTAGTCTCTTGCAATGCACTGGTAATGCCGTTGAATGGCGACACAGGCGTGGGTGACGAGTTCAGCGGGAGGGACTGAGAGAGGGCGGAGGGTGAGAGTAGCCCTGGCGTCGGCGTCTCCGGGTTGGACGAGGAGGTCTTTTTGCCTAGGGAGAATATGTCTGCTTCTTCATCGAAATCTGAATGCTCCTCCTCATCATCCGTAAAGTTCATTTTCTTGTCATCCAGCTCCCTCGCCCGGACACCCCGTCGCTGCGCCAAGCGGTCTTGATCCACCTTGTAGAGCTTCCTCAGATACTGCATGAACTCAAGATAGGCCTTGGATACTGTCTCGAGATGCGTGACGCTAAGTCTGACCTCTGCGGTCGGATCAATGATCTTCTCATGACTGCCGCCTCCAGCCTCAAATTCCGCCAGGGCCAAAGCTGTCTGACACGCATTGCGGATCTGTCGGCCGTTCCAGCGCATCTTCTTGTGCGTCTTCCAATACTTCTCCACCATCGCCAGGATGGCGTCCCGATCGACCGTAATGTTTCGCTTCTTTTCCGTGAATCGCTGCTGGATGAGCCTCATGTTCAGCAAGAAAATCTCTCTCGTGGCTGGGAGCGTCAACTGGGGGTAGTGAAGACTGATATGGATGCGGGATCCAAACGCCTCGTCGAAGTCGCCAATACGGTTTGTCGTGAGGAAGAGAATTCCGGCATAGTATTCAAGCACCCGCAGAAAGACTAGAAACATGGGTCAGGAATCTCAAGCCTTTCTTCGATGCTCGCGGACTTTCGAACATACCGGACACCAAGCCATTCCGCTTGAAATCCTGGGGCGTTCTCTTCGCCAGGAACACGTCAGCTTCATCCAGCAAGAGGATACAGCCCCATCGATGAGCCAAGGCGAAGTTTGTTTCGAGAGCATGCTCGACGCTCTCGGCCGTGGTGCCCAAGTCACCTACAATGGGAGTCAGTTGACAGCTTGAGCTGTGGGACAAATAAGCTTACCGCAAGTGATCTGGAAAAGAGGCTTCTCAAAGAGCTCGGCCACGCCCTCTGTGTCAAAGGTCAATTATCTCCTCAACCAGGAAGGAAAACTTCATACGCACCTGCCGTGGTGGTCTTACCCACCCCGGGAGCGCCGTGGAGTAGAATAATCAGTCCCTTGCCTAACGTCCAACCATCAGCATCGATACTAGCGGCATACAACCTCCCATCCAGACCGACCTTTTCCGCGCACAATATCCACTTGCTCATTCGCAGCGGTGGGTGACTCCTTGTCACGGTAATGTTGTGCGACCAAAGACAAGAGCATCTTCTTGTGGCCTTCCTCCAGCACCAGCTGATCGAAAGCCGTCTCTCGGACTTGCGGTTTGCCTTGGTCCTCGCCCTTGCTCTCCACCCGGATGCCTCGAATATAGCTGAGATGGGTGAGGTCAAGCTTTTCTGCAGAAGGAAAGGCACATTAGCTACTACACTCTACAGTCTCCGGACACGGCTGTGGCATACCCCATTTGCGACTTCGCAGACTGAAGCCGAACACTCGATAACTCATGATCACAAAATCATCATCTGAAAGGGCGTCGTCGGAGGCTCGGGAATTCTTCAACCGAGGGTAAATGGCAGCAGAGGGCTGCTGGGATAGCTCCTCCGGAATGAGGCTGTTGCGATAGTGTTCGTTCCGCTTCTGCTCGGCGTAGAGGTCTTTGTGGACGCGTTCTCTGGCGCAGCACGCGGCCGTGCAGTCGGATGCCGGATTATCAGGGACCTCGATGCTGATCAGACTGCGGATCTTTGGCCGCCACACCTTCTCCAGCTCTTCCTCTCCACCATCCCCGCCGTTATTGTCGCCAAGTTCGGCGGGCTGCTTGGATTTGTCTTCGCTCTCAAAGGCCTTCTCGAAGTCAATCACCACTTGGCCGTCCACTTCATCGCGAGTCTCCAGCGTCAGTCCACTGTAGTGCATGTGCTTCTTGGCCAAGACATCAATGAACATCTTGCCACGGGCGATGAGCTTTTGGCGAACATCCACGATGCTCGTCAGGTCGCCCGCTCTCGTGCCCGCCAGGCGGATAGGGAAGACGCGAAGCGAGGTGATGGCCTTCTCGCCGTCGAACCGTGCGATCCGGAACGTTTGCAGCACCGGCCCGAGATATTTACCGTCAAAGTCGATATGAACGCATTGCAGCATCACAGTGGGCTCATCTTTGCTGGATGTTTCCCAGTTTCGGTAGGGAGACATCACTTTATGCGGCGAGCTGGTGACGCCGATGACCCGATATGCCTGCTTCCCTACCTGGTCGACAACCTCATCCCCGGGTCGAAAAAGATACCAGACATCAGCAAAGGAGACCCGGTGGCATTGCTCGCTGCGGACGTAGTCCATCTTGGCTTTCACATCCAAGTCAAGAAAATTAATCAACACCTGCAGTTGCTCGAGTGCGGTTTCTGAAGAGGTGAACTCGTCTTTCAGTACCTCGCTCACGGGGTTGCCCTGGTTTTCCTCGCCTTCCCGGTTTTCTTCCGGTCGGTCTGCGGTGGTTGGAGAGCTGGGGCGAGCTTCTTTCTCCCCTGAGCCTGCTGTCTCCTCGTCCTTTTTCGCCTCGGGCGACTTCGACTGTGCCCCTCGATGCTTCTCCAGAAGCACCTGATGGATCTGGCGGAGCTGATCTTCAAAGAACACCAGGGCCTTGAACGGCCGAATCATAATCAGGGATTCGTCCTCGTCAGTGAAGTTATCCGGTTCCAGCTTCTGAAGAATCTTGAGGATCTGCCGGGAATTGATGCGAATGCGTTCGGGCATGGGCCCCTGGCCAGGTGGGGCAAGTCTCTTCTTGGCTGCAGGGGCCTTTGTCTCCTCCGAGACGCTCTTCTTCATGGTCCACCAGGGGCGGTAATAGGACATGAAGCTAATGACCGGTTCCCCTTCCAACACATCGATGGCGAAGGTCTCCTTCACTTGATGATAAGGGGCAGAAAAGGAAGCCCATTCCACGCGATTGAGCTGTGCCGTCGGCCACTGCTGGGACTTCACGGACGAGTCATCCTCATCATCCTCATTGTCCTCACCCCCCCCTTTCTTCTCCGTTGCCTTGGAATGCTTGGTGGGTTTCTTCTCGGAGAGCAGATTGGGATCCCACTGGCGCACTTGGGCTTCTATCATGGTCAACCGTTCCGTCAACTGGGTGTTTTCCGTCTTGAGGTCCTCCTTCTCCTTCACCATGGTTGTGTAGGCGTCGTCCTCGTTCTTGAGCCATTTGAGCTCCGCCTCGACCACCCCCATCATGATCCGCTTGCGCTCATGCACCTGGGCCATATCGGTGACGATAGGCTCGGTCACACGGCTCATGTAGTAGGATCTGCTGTTCTGGTCGGAGTAGGTCTCTGGCCGGAACATGTCCCACTCATACAACCATGGTCGACTCCACGAAGCACCACCCATCCCACTCGGTCCCATCGCTCGCTCCGCCATCATCCTCCGTTGCGCCCGCTCGTTCTCCAACTGCTCTTGGATTATTTGGATCTGCTTGTGTAGGTCGGCAACCTGGATTGTAGGCTCTGCTTCGTGCTTCGCTGATGCTGCCTGAGAGGCATCTAGACTAGGTTCGCCATGTGGCGACACATTCGAGCTCTCGGAAGACGCATCGCTAGTCGCTGTATGGCTGTCTCCACTGCCAGCAGTTGAGTCGAGTGCTGCAATGGGGCTGGCACTGCGCTGCAGCAGATCAACTCCGTTTGGGCTTTCGACGACCGCCATGGCGCAACTGGAGCGGCTCCGTCTCAATCAGCTGTTAGTGTGGAGGATACAAGCAAAGATAGTTTGCAAGGACATGAGGTCAAGGCTGGATGGGAGCATGGGTACTTGGTACTTTAAATTAGAGACCCAGTGCAGAGATAAGATGAGGGTTAGCGTGCAAGCGGGACCGAGCGCAATCGCCCCCATCTTGACTTCCCGTTTGCCCCTAGTGCTTACGAGGCTATTCCATGTCCGCCTGTCCAGATGACAGCCACGTTTCCACAAGAGAGAATTAATCAGCGGAACAGCAACAGCTCGAGTAGATTCTTAATCATTTTCCTGACATCCCAACTGCTTGCCGGTCCGTGTACTGCTGCCCGTGCAGATGGGTTCTCTGGACAGTGAATGGTAAACAACCTGTGATTGGAAATGGGCGGGGCCAGCTAGGGCAAGGCTGGGATGCACTGCACTCAACTTGCCAGACACGCTAATGCAGGTTGGCCAAATTGCACGCCATTCACACGTCTTGGGACGATCTTCACTCCAATCACTGTTTCCCACACTGCCACCCGAGCCCCTCAAGCCCGTATTGATTCTGCATCCTCTGATCCTGCATGTCCGCGGGGCTGTATCTGCAGTCACCTGGCACCGCTCCCCTTCCACCTCGATGTGTCTTGACTTTACTCCATCCATCGGGACATGATCCCCACCTGGCTTTGTCTGGAGTATTGCTCAAGATCAGCCTCGATCGTTAGCAAGTAGCTAGCCTTGGCAGCTGCTCGGAGCGAAGGCTGGGACTGGAGATGTCCCGCGCTGGGAGCTTCCCACCACCTCCCGCCACAACTTAATTTCAAGCGTACAGTCTTGCCCTCAGAAGTCTTACATAACGGACCCCAAAGTTGTTACTCGAATCTGAGAGACGAGATTCTTTTTAGAAAACGCAATCCAGCGACAAAGTCTTCGGGGACTAGCCATGGGTGCACCAGGCAACCCCCCGACACGCACCGCCTCGGTAGACTTCATCGACCACCACCTGCCCCAAATCAACCCAGTTTTCGACCATCCCGGCATCAAGTATGACTGTAAGGGGGGACAGTATGTCTCCCCAACCGCCATTTCCACCAGTCCGATTGAAGACGATATCATCCCGCCGCGACCAGCTCTTCCAGCAGTCGACGCGATGAGATTCTGGTCGGACATCTTTCCAGACTGTATGACCGAGTTGAGGAAGAAATATCCCGAGGCTGGGCCCTTGATCACCAAGGGATGCAGTATCCGCAGTCAATCCAACTGGGAGGGGGTGCGAAGCCAACTCGACAAGGCGCAGAGCCATTATGAGGTGCCGAAGCGGACCACGGCGAAGGGGTTGTTCAAAAAGGTCTATCGCAAAGCGGCGGACCACACCGAGCAAGCGAAGATGGTGAGCAAGCTACTTGCTCAGGTGGAATATATTTCCCCTTTCATTGCGACCATAGACATCCTGCTGGATGTAAGTAGCACCGTGTCGTGGTTGGTTCAGATACTGATTGGGTGCAGGCGGCGGCAATGGCCTCGAAAGTGCGCGAGAAGGTGACCACGGCGTTCGAGCCTGAGGCGTTGGAGGACGACTTTGAGAGTATTGAGTTCTTCATGGCGACGTTCCCCAGAGACAGAATCATCCGGAAGACGTCGATCACCTTGGTGGTCGCGATATTCCAGGCGATCGAGAATGCGATCGCCTTCTTCTTGAGCCACGAGTGTATGGGTTGCTATTGTTATCCAGATTGAATGAGCCGCTCGACCACTAACTTTCACATGTCTTCAGTCTCGCGGACCTGGCGCAGTCTGGCGCAGGGCAGTGAGTACCAGGACAAGCTCCTGGGCAGCATTGATGTAATCCAGAAGCACAGCTCAAAGCTGGCAAATCAGGCGCGCAAAGCAGAGATGCACAGCACCCGCGTGGCGCTGGAAGACTTGATCCGGGGTAAGGAGGTCACGGCAGCAGTCACTCTCGCCAATTCGGACAAGCTGGACGAGGCCAAGAAAGACCGCCAGCGCCTTGCAGACCAGCAGATGACCCGGATGCTCAATCATCTGAACGGGTTATTCCAGGTGGCAGAGGAACGCGAGAAGCAATGGGAAGAAAGAGAGAGGAAGAGGGAGGAGCGGGAGAGACGGAGAGAAGAGATGGCAAGAAGACAGTCTGACGAGACTAACCATCTCCTCGAGCACCTTTGGGGTAGGTTCATTCTATCACCAGTGCTATGAGTACCGTTAACCAAGTGGATCCCAATCCCAGATGAACTGAGGAAGCGCAACACTCCAAGTCCACAGCCTCTGGCACAGCCCATTGCCTGTTCGCCCTGGATACCTCCAACGACCCAAGTGCCCTTCTACCCTAATTTCCTCCCATTGCCCCAGTATCCTCCTGGTACCTGGATGCAAGCCCCCCAGCTCATCGCGCCCTCTGCACCAGCCACTCCCGAACCACTCCCTCCATCAGTCACCGTGGCTGACCTCCTGGCTATGCTCAATGTGACCGCCTCCGAAGCCCAAGACGTGGCCTACATCCTGTCTCATCGCGCGCGCATTGCACCCGCTGCGCGACGACGCGCAGAGTCAGCGCTCACGACGGGTGAATTCCGACGATGGCTTACATACCCAGCATCTCGCGAGCTTCTCATCGAAGGAGACGCCGAGTCCGAGGGCTGCGAGGTCTCCGCAGTCTCTCTCCTGTCTGCCTTGATCTACGCAGCGCTGGAAAGCCAACCAGGACACCTGCGTCTAACCTGGTTCTGCTCCCTTCACGAAACCGATCACCACGGCAACACCGCAGTTGGAAGAGGGGTAACTAAAGCCTTTCTCGCCCAGCTGCTGCAGCAGCATGATTTCGACCAGGACACCGTCCAAGAAATCGAAACCTACCTCCGCGACCCACGAAACCTCATCACCGACGGGCTTTGCAAGCTGCTTATCTGGCTGGTTCGCAAACTCCCCAAGGGAGTCAAAGTCATCGTCATCGTGGATGAGATCGGATGGTACGAGACGGACGAGCACGAACGCGACATGCTTCGCGTGCTGAAGACGCTGTTAGGGCTATCTCGCGAGAAGTCCGTGGCGTGTCAAGTCAAGGTCCTGGCCACGAGCGCGGAGGTCACGGATACGTTCCATAGCGCGTTTCTAGACAATGATGACTGTTTGCTAGACTTTGATGCGCTGGAGGAAGCGGACGATATCGGGGAGATGGAGTTTGGTACGGACTTGGTGCGTGGGGATGACACCAGCGACGAGGAGGAGTAATTGCTGCGAGGGGTTGACCAAGCATCGAGGTAGTGACCATGATCATCAATTGAATTCTATCTATCATGAGATTATATACAGTCATTGAGCTCGCCTCCAGCGAGACCAGTTCATCATCATCATCATTCAATCCCCCATTTAAGCGTTCGTGCCTAAGGCAAACACATCGGCAATCTCGGTCAGGTTCTTGCCCTCGGCCAGCAAGAGACCCAACAGAATGCGCGACTTCTGGGGGTTCAAGTACCCACTGGCGATATGCGCGGCGGTGTCGCTGCTGACATCCGACAGCGGCACCTCACCATTCACCGTGCGCATACTCTGCACCACGGGGATCTCCAGCCGGTTGATGACATCCTCGATGGCGGCGTTGAAGGAGGTGGTGACGCCTCCGGCTCCGGCTCCGGCAACCACAATACCCTTGGCGCCACTCTCGACCGCATTGTATAGCGTGTCGTTGTGCATATCCTCGTAGGAGAAGAGGATGTCCACGCGCGGGATTTCAGTGACATTGGCAATGTCGAAGGGCACCTTGCCGGTGGGGGTGACAGGCGGATAGAAGAAGAAGGGGTTGTTGGAGATCATCTCGCCCAGGAAGCCCATCTCCATGGCCTTGAAGGTATCCATGGTGTTGGCGTTGGTCTTGGTGACATAGTAGGCGGAGGCGATGCGGTCGTTCATGACGACCATGGCGCCGCGGTCGCGGGCTTTGGGGGAGGCGGCCACGGTGACGGCCTCGAGCAGGTTGAAGGGTCCATCGGCCGAGATGGCCGTCGAGGGACGCATGGCACCAACAATGACGACGGGCTTGCCGCAGTTGACCGTCGCGTCCATGAAGAAGGCCGACTCCTCCAGCGTGTCGGTGCCGTGGGTGATCACCGCACCCGCCATGGTCGGATCGTCGCACACCATCCGGGTAATGTCCTTGGACAGGGAGATCAGGATGTCTGAGGTGATGTCTTCGCTGCCGACGTTGGCGACCTGCACCCCGGCCACGTTGGCCACGTCGAGCATGGACGGGACGGCATCGATGAGGGTCAACACGCCCACAGCCCCCGAGGTGTATCCGGTGGTGGCGGTCGAGCTCGAGTCGGAGCCGGCGATGGTTCCTCCTGCGGCGATGTTAGTGGTAGCAGGCAGGAGGCAGGGGGGCTTGGCTTACCCGTCGCGAAGATGGTCACATTGGGCAAGGAAGCGTTCATCTGAGTGAAATTCAAGCCATTGGAGTTGGTGAAGACATAAGTTGTGCTATTGCTGTCACGAGCATGAAGGAGAGGTGAAGCCGACGCCAACGTCGCCAGCGCGGAGAGCACAACAGACTTGATAGCCATAGTGATCGAGAATGTAGATGATTGTGATGAAGAAGGCGGAGTATCAGCAGAGACCCGCATGCAATTTATACCTTCATCCGCTGTTCATCTTGGCATCATCGCCGGTTATCATTTTTGAGTCTATCTTGGCAATTATCTTAGTGCATGCTTCCGTCTTGAATCTATCCAGCTTGGCAGTTCGATCCCGCTTGGCGGTTATCTAAGATCAACCATCAGGTCGGCCAATGGCTTCACTATCGCAGCGTGGGGCTGGCTGGGTGCTTTTTGGAGCAGTTGGAGGAGTTGGAGAACCTGGAAGCCGAACCCGATGTCGGATTCCGTTGTGGTGGGGACCTTGCCAGTGCAGGATGGATGGATGGATGGATGAGCCACAGCTGATAAGCTGATAAGAAAAAGCTTCCCCACGCGGTCTTATCAGTCCGACATCGAGACCCTATAGGTATCCATACACCTGGTTCGCCGCAATCAATGGACCGGGATGTTAGTATTACAGATATGAGCTTGTCAGGTGTCTTGACATACGCTATCGGAACATTCTATATCTGCACTTTTCTGTGTCTTGGGTTCTTTTATTCTTCGTCCTACTCTGATCCAGGTGCTCAATTTACTGGCTCTTGTGGAGTAATGTATCCTGGTCCTGGGCACTAGCTGGTTTGTGGTGCAGTCCGCTACTGCCTGATAAAAACCCTTTTAGGTTGGTTGACTTTATTTAAATTGTTATGCCTGATATACCTACCGCGTAGTACATAAATTCAAAGAAGATTTGATCCGATAAGAGTAGCATCGAGAGATCCGGCACATCCGGCAAGGTGCTTACTTACTACTGCGCGGGAGCAGCGCTCGTTATGGAAGTGATCGATGGCCATTACAATTTGAAGAATGAGTAATGAAAATGACAGATAGTTTGAGCTGTTTAGCCAGGTCTATTTCCGGTATTATTCAGAGTCATTCAGGGTTAACTTGATTCTAAGGTACCATGGAGAGAAGATAGATTGAGGAAGCAAGATTATGATGGCCTTAGGCAGAATGGCGCCCGATCACATGGCATGGGGTGATTGGACAGACATGCAAACATGCAAACATGCAAACATGCAAACACACAAGCGTGCAAACACAAACCCACTCATCCGCGACTCCAACATTCTGACTGTCTACAACAGTCTCCAAGCGATTCTAGCATCTAGTCTTTGGACACAACTCTTGCATTTACTAGGCTCTATCTTCATTCCACTACAACCGAACCATGACCTCTGATCTCCTCCCCCCTCAAATGAAGGGAAGAATCACCGAGCTGGGATAGTCGCCCCCGCAGTGCACATAATGCTTGCCGCGATTCAACTCCTCCTCCGGCCGCGGCTTCGACCACGTCTTGTACTCGGCAATGCTGGGATACTGCCCCGACACCTGCTCCGGTATTAGTTCTGTCCTTCAACTGGAGCTATCAGAGTCACTTGCCTGAATGCTGATCGACTCTCCCTCATCGAAATCAACCCCCATGGCCCAGATTCCGATTTCCAACCTGACAATCTCACCCGGCGGAACCTTGTCTTGCTTGTTGTGGGGGTGGAACGGAAATTGGGAATGGATACTCTTGGCTGGATCAAACGCGCGATGTGAAGCTCGAAGAATGCCGACCGATCCAAGGTGCAGATTCAGGCTTGCCTGGTCCTTGGTCGGGATCTCCGCGATCGACTGCACCGGGGTCGCGTGGATGGGAAAGTTGAGGTGCATCAGTGGTTTGCCATTGCGATCGAGCTTGCGGAGGATGACGAACACGGTGAAATCGTCGCGGTCCTCGCAGGACATATACAAGATGGCTTTGGGAAGGCCGATCAACCGAGCGGGCCCGTCGAAGGTATGAGTGAAGGCGAGGAGGCTGTTCACTTGATCGGACTCATACGAGAGCTTCTCATACTGCGTTACCGGTGCGGCGCTCAATCGGTTCTCGGACAGGAAGAACTCGCGATACTCGGTGGATGGTACCGGAAAATCCGGAAGCTCGATATCGTCAATGGCCTCGCGGTCACCGAACTGCAGGGCCGACCAGCGCACTTTGGGCGTTCTCTCCCACTCATTGGAGATGCCTTTGAGGTAGCGATCGAAATACTGGAAGAGCTCGTCCAGGGACTCGGGGCAACTGTACAGCTCGTACCACTCTTGCTTGCTGCCCCATCGGATCCATTTCTGGTCGTGCGGCAGCTCGAGCCATGCGCGCACGGAGCCCATTGTGTGGATGGAACTCACGTCCGAGCCTCGGATGTAGACCGGACACTGAACGCGAGACATGTCCGCCCGCTTGTCCTCCCAAAACGGACTCGATGTAGAGGAGCGCCGGTACATCTCCTCGTAATCCTCGATTCCGGAATTCTCGTGCCCACGCACGATCGCACCGGTGATGAGGTCGAAGTTGCTCATGGAGAACCAGCCGCCCCGACAGAACTGTTCCCGGTAGATATCGCCGGACCCTTCCCAAGGGGCGATTGCTTTGAGAGAGGGGGGCTGCTGCGCCGCGATAAACCACTGCGAGATAGCCAGAGCCGAATTGCCCGCCATGCCAATGGAACCGTTGCACCAGTCCATCTTGGCTAAGGCCTCGACCACATCGTACCCATCTTCCGCATCCTGGGAACCCATCACACAGATCATGCCGTCGCTGTGGCCCGCTCCCCGCGTGTCGACGCTGACAATGGCATAGCCGCGCGGACACCAGGTCTGGGGATCAAGGCCCTCGAACTTCTCGAGACCACTGAGGTCCGATCGAGGCACGCAGCAATTCCACGTGCACATGGGCAGCATCTCCAGCGCACTGTATTTCTTGCCGTAGAACGACCAGCTCAAGATGGCTGGGACTGGCTCCGTGGTGTCGGCTGGACGGTAAATGTCCGCGTACAGTCGACAACCATCGCGCACCACGATTTCGACATCATGGTCAATCCGGATCGGGCTTTTCAAAGGCTTTGCGTTAAATCCGTTCCATCCTGTAGGGAGGATCTCTGTCTTGCCGGGTTGCGGGCTGATGTAGCCATTCTCCCCTTCTTGGGGCTGCTTGATGCGTTTGTAGGCGGATTGCACGGGAGGAGGCATTGTAAACGGGTGGTTCCGATCGTGCTGTTTTTGCGTGTGTGACGTACGAGCTGATGGAGCGATGACCTTTGCCAATCATGGTCTCGTATATATAACAGGTTGGAAGATGGGGGAGGTATTGCGGATCATATCCTATCATAGGTATCCCCGTCCCCCGCATTACCTCCCTCTTGGCAAAGGCCGCCGAGGCTGCTCGGGGCAAGCTTCAGGGATGTTCGGGGGTCAAGCGCCCGCACTTTCGGTGCTCTTTGCATGTCCCTCCGCCGAGAATACACCCAAGACGTGCCCCGAGGCAGCCCCGAGACCACCGAGACAGCGCCAAGTCTGCGGAGAGCCTCGGGGCATACGAGACGCTGAGTCTCGGCGCGTTTACTTAAGTGTTCAACTTTGGGCTTCTCGTTTCAAGCACCAAACCAGCAATTTCAATCCAAGTCCACATTTCCGAGCACACGCAACCAGAAAGTCAACCATGTCTACCACTGTCACCGAGATCCAAGAGATCGCCGCTCAGACCAACGAGTCCTTCACCATCAGGGACTTGGTCGATTTCTCCGGCCGCACCTACGGTGACTGGCGCGATGAATTCCACCAAAATGGCTGCGTGGTGATCAAGAACGTTATCAGTCCGGAACGGGCGAAATACTACTGTGACAAGCAGATCGAGTGGTTGAAGAATTTCGATCTGGGATTTGACGAGAAGGATGAGAGCACTTGGACCGGCGAGCATCTTCCGGTCAGCTTCAAGGGAGGGTAAGTCTTTGGCCCTGTCTTGTATTGATGAGCATGTGTGCTAAAAGCAAGCTCCGGGACAGCATGTACTACGCGTACGCCGCCACCCACGAAAAGATCGCATGGGAGGCCCGCACTGAGCCGGCCGTGGTCAAGATCTTCGAGGACTTGTGGGAGACGAAAGAGCTGCTTTGCTCCTTCGACGGCATGAACATCTCTTTACCCCGCCGCAAGGACCTGGACTGGAGCCCATGGCCGCACTGTGATCAGAATCCCGACCGAAAAGGGTCAGCACCCCTTCTTCCCAGCACATTTACATCCCCCCCCCCCAACACCGCAATCTAACCTCCGCGTAGAATGCAAGCCGTCCAAGGCTTCCTCAACTTCGCCCCGAACGGCCCCAAGGACGGAGGCCTCATGCTGATGAAAGGCTCCGCCAAGCTCTTCGACGAGTTCTTCGCCCAGAAGCGCGACCAGTACGACCACGAGGATGCCCCTCCCCCGGAGCTGAAGTATATGGACCTCTTCTTGTTCCACGACCGCGACCTCGAGTGGTTCAAGGAGCGCGGCTGCGAAATGATCAAGGTTAATATGGAGCCCGGCGACTTCGTCCTATGGGACTCGCGCACGATGCACTACGCCTGCCTGCCGGAGGGCGACCAAATCCGACACGTGCAGTACATCTGCATGACGCCGCGGCGATTTGCCACCCCGCGGGCGCTGGAGCTGAAGAAGTTCTGCTTTGAGAACTTCATTGGTACCACCCACTGGCCACACTGGTAGGTTCTAACATGCACCGAACTTGAGAAGGGGACTGACACTGTGATAGCAACATCCGACCCGCGGCTGAGAAGCCCATGCGAGATGGCCAGGTGTGCCCCAAGGACCGCGCCGAGCCATTCGAGAAGCCGGTCATCACGGAGCAGGTGCTGAAATTGGCGGGTGTCAAGGAGTATTAGATCGGATTGGTCGATGTCTTAGATTACATTTACGCAATACCAGAATGCAATTGAAGTTATTGAATGTTACCTATGGCCGAGTAAAGAACACCCTGTAGCCTCCGAATGTCTTCTGTATGCATGCGACGACCGTCGAGTCCCCTTCTGAGATCTGCTGTCATGACTACACGTTGAGGGTTATTATGATCTCGAGGAATGCGGGTGCACGTCCTGTGGAAAACTTGCCCTTCGTGCTGATAGAGTCTCCGAAACCTTATTGAAGATCTCGAACAAGAGCCGACAGGCCAGCAATGCTGTTCTCCCGAGGACTCGTCCCCTCAATCTCGGTGTCCCCCGAAACGACGCATACAGAACTACCGAGCTCCTTCGCGTCGCTGAGGTCCCGAGTCTGGGGTAGCTTCCCCGCAGAGCCAAGCCAGCTGTCGTCTGGAGTTGCCTAAGCTACCGTCTATACCATTGCCCACGGGAGAAATGGTATATAACGACAGACGAAAAAGAGGAGAGGAGACATCCCAGCGAGGCTCGTGAAGTTAAACTGTCCTCCAAACGCACACAATTCCATCCTTTCAACAACCGGTCGTCATGGCAGCAGCCAAAGCCACCGACAAATCGTGCATCAGCCACGTCGAAGATATTGAAGAGGGCCAGATGGGCGGCAAACCCGATGTGGTGACCGGCACGGTTAAGCTCACCGAGGGCTCGATCGTGTACATTCCCACTCCCACCGCGGATCCTCAAGGTAGCCACCCCTACTGTTACCACGCTTCGATGTGTGAGAATTGATCATGTTAGATCCTCTCAATATGCCCAAATGGCAGAAGATGGTGATACTCGTGGTCATCTCGATCTGTGAGTCCGGCCTCACGAGGACCGTCGATCGTCCGCTGATGTCTTTAGTCTCAACGCTAGGGCTGGCCCTTGTGTCTGGGTTTGGGGGTCTGCTGGGGTTCTACATCCCCGAGTATAGCGCTGTCGGCAAAGGATACGATGATATCACCCATCTGATGACCTATCCTACCCTGTTCATGCAAGTCAACCGTTGCATCTCCGTCATGAAGAGGAACGCTAACACAGAATGCTGCACAGGGGCATCGGCAATCTCATCGGAATGCCCCTGGCAATAGGCGTGGGTCGACGAATCGTCCTCCTGGGATCGACTGTCATCCTCGTCATCGGTGCGGTCCTCTGTGCCACGGCCAAAGACTTCGAGTGGCACTTATCCTCGCGGATGGTCGTGGGTCTTGCAGCTGGGCAGAGTGAGGCCCTGGTGCCCATGGTTACGCAGGTCAGATCATACCATCGTCGAGCCTGAGCACTTTGCTGACATGGAAGCACAATGGGAGTGGATAGGAGATCTTCTTCCTGCATGAGCGGAGCAAGGCCCTGATGGGCCAGATGGCCATCCAGGTGACTCTCACCTCCGTGTGGGTGTTGTGTGCCTCGCCCATCGCAGAGGCCATCACGCCGCAGTGGTGGTACGGGCTGGGCGCTGCTCTGGCCGGCGTGCTCCTCGTGCTGGCTTTCTGCTTTCTTCCGGAAACCAAATATGAACGGTCGGCGAGCTCTTACCAGGGCGAGGGGACACCCGAGGATGTCAAGGTGGGGGATCAACTCACGGAAACCTACACCGAGCGTCCAGCGCTGGACTTTGACACTTACGCACCCCGAACGTGGAAGTCTGATCTCCGCCTGTGGGTTGGCAGTCCAGACTGGACGAAGGTTCTGGAAGTCTTCCGGGTAAGCCCGAGGGACCCTCCATTCGCCCATGGTGCGCTGCCCTAACTGTGGTGCACAGCAAACCTTCTCGCTTCTCCTCTTCCCCAACGTCCTCTGGGCCCTCCTCCTCAACGGCCTCACCATCGGCGTCAATGTGGCCATCGGCACGACCTACAGCACCATCCTCTCCGCAGCCCCTTACGACTGGCCCGACAGCAGCGCCAGCTACGTCAACTGCGGCCAGATCATCGTGGCGCTGATCGCACTCCCGCTGCTGGGCCATGGCTCCGACTGGCTGATCCGGTACTTCGCGCAGCGCAACGGGGGTCTCCACGAGCCCGAGACGCGCATCATCCCGTTGATCCTCCCCATCATCGTCGGAGTTATTACAGCGGTGTTCTACGGCCAAGGCGCCGCCCACCCGTACGAGTACCACTGGTTCATCTACGCGTGGACCGTCGCCGCGTACTACTTCTGCTTTGTCGGGGCCAACATCGTGGCTATCACCTATCTGCTGGACAGTTACCCGACCCGTGCCGGGCCCCTGCTGGTGATCATTTGCGCCTTCCGGGGGATCATCTCCTTTGGCACGAGCTATGGGGTTGCCCCGTTCATTGAGCGAAATGGCTATGAGGGGACGTTTGAGACGTTTGCGGGGTTGACGGGGGCTTTGGGGTTGTTGGGATTGCCGGTTTTCATCTGGGGGAAGCGCATTCGGCAGTTTACTGGGAGGTTTATCAAGGATTAGAGTTGGGGCTTGGGTTTGGGACAGTACTTGTTTGGTCATGACGGCTCTTGAGGAGTATTTCCGGCTAAGTGAGTGAAGCGAGAATGCGTGCATGATATACACTTCAGTTTGAAGAAGATGGATTCTATCTCATCTATCACGTATACATGTATGTACAATCTTCCATTTGTTGAAGCCACCGTGGCTGCACACATAAGAACTGCCCCTGCTGTAGCCGATCAGGTAATGTACAGGCAGGCGTGTAGGACGTATAAGTGCTTTGTATGTCCTGCACAGTACCCGGCTGCCAGGGCGACAGGTGTCCCCAGGTGACCAGTACTTCAAACCGGAACTCTCACATCCCGTCGGCGCCATATTTGCCAGTTGCATGTTCTGAGAAGAGCTCATTCGACCGATCCTAGTCGCTTTTGCCTATATGAACATAGGCAGATCTCACTGATTCTCGTGCATTGAAGGAGTTCTTTACTTCGTATCGTCTCACGCGTACTATCCTGCGCAGCGCGACTCTCAGTTCGATCCTGCCCCAATGCAGTTGAATTCCATCCGCATCGACGGCCAATGCCCATCGTAATGTCGGAGGTGGCTGTGCAGTCTCTGCGGCTTGATCCGAGGGGCAACCTCGCTGACCCTCCCAGCCACGGCGACAGCAGCCTGGGCGGAGTCTATGTCTGCGAGCTGTTTCGAGATCCAGGCCGCCGTGTTCACCAAGCTGGGAAGATCAATCCCCGTATCGATGCCAGCATTGTGGAACATGTATGCGACATCTTCCGTCGCGACATTCCCCTTGGCGCCGGGAGCGAAAGGACAGCCCCCGAGACCGGCGACACTGCTGTCGAACACGCGCACGCCGCAAGTATACGCCTCCCAGACATTGGCGGCCCCGCGGCCATAGGTATCATGAAAATGTCCAGCCAGACGGTCGACCGGGACATCCGCGTCTGTCAAGTCCCGGATCAGACCGCGGACCGTGGCGGGCGAGCCTACGCCTAGCGTGTCGCCCAGGCTGACCTCGTAGCAGCCCGCGTCGAGCAGGGCTCGAACGCAGCGGAGCACCGCAGCCGGGGAGGTCGGGCCATCGAAGGGGTCGGAGAAGATGCAGGATACGTAGCTGGAGCTGCAGTCAGTGCGATGCTGGAAAGAGATATTCTCAGCAAGCGCCGCTTACCCTCTCACGGCCAGACCCGCCGCGATGGCGTGGGATGCGACCTCCGTTGCTCGCTCGATCCCCTGCCCGACAGTACAGTTGATGTTGGCGCGGCTGAACCCCTCGGTCGCGCTGATGAACACAGCCACCTCTTCGACGCCCAGCGAGCGCGCAATCTCCAATCCCTTGAAGTTGGGGACCAAGACCGGCAGTCGCAGGTGCGGATCGCTCGCTAAGCTTCGAATCAGGGAATGCTGTAGGAGATCGCGACAGTCGGCCAACTGGGGGATCTTCCGGGGCGAGACCACCGAGGTTAGCTCTATGCTCTGCAAACCGGCGTGGTGCAGTCGCCGGATGAGGTCGAGCTTGGTGGAGGTGGGGATGTGGGTGGCGACGTTCTGGAGTCCATCGCGGGGTCCGACCTCGACGATTCTCACGGTGGGAGAGGGGCGTGGCATGTTGGGAGGGATGTCATCGAGTCGTGGGCAGTGGGTGTCCGGGATTTCAGGCTGGATATAGTTCATGCATAATCGATGTGGCTAAGATAGATAGATTGGAGAGTCTTATGCTGGGCACCAAAGTAAGGTAGTAAGGCAGGATGAACCGAGGTTGAAGGCAAGGCCGAGGGTGAGCGAGGGTTGAGGGCTGGGAGTGCGCGTGCCCTTTTTATGGGTTCATGTTCTGTTTGTCTGACTCCGAGGCGCATTCCAACTCCGTCCGGCTCCTTGCGGCAGAAGGTAACAATACGGAAAGAATACCGCGCCAAGCGTCAGCTACAGCCATTCGTCCAATCTGAAGCAGCAGTTTCTGGACCAACCGGAATGACCGAGGAGGTGGGATCGAAATGGGATTACACGGTCGCAGTCAGCCTGACTGACTCTTCGGACAATTTCTCAATTCAATGACGCAGTGAACCCCAGTTCACTGACAGTAATCTGCTTACTGCATAGAGACTCCCGAGATTCCTGTCGGGACGCCTTATGGCGCCTTATGACGCCCTAAAGTTCGACAGAGATGTACAGTACAGTACCCCACCATTTCTGATAGCCGGATGCGCCATCAGTTGCTCCTATCATCGAGTACAGATGATCAACCTCAGGCCTCGTTTCACACCGAGGGAAATTTCTAGAACATGGTCACTGTACTGGATGCACAGTACTGTGCCTACCTCGGATAATCAAATCCCCAATGCGACCGGGGATGACCGCATACCCCGCGTCATCCAGCACCGCCGCATCCCCGGCATGAAACCAGTACACCATCAGCGTCCCGGCGCATGACCTCCTGTGCTTCGGGTTTGCTACGCCCCTACCCCTTCTGCATGGCAAAGCCACTGGGGCAGAAATCGGCGCGGGCCAACCAGCTGGGCCACGGTGTGAGGATGACTCTGCCCTCCGTCACCGCACGTTTCGAGTCGGATTCATCCAAGCCCACCACAAACGTGACCGAAATCACTCCGGTATTTCCGTGCGGAATCAGCATCATGTCGACGACCCCCCATCCTCGTCTTGAGTCGCGCATTTGAGTCTAGACTTTGTCTCTAGAGCCCCTGAGCGAGTCCGAAGCAATGGGCTAGCGATGGGGGGCTGTAGGCTACCTCTTCGGGCCGTAGACGTATTGCTTGGCCGGTGAAGCGATAAGACTGTGAGGAGTAAGTAGGTGCTATTGGGCAGGGGTTAACATGGGAGCTTTGGCAAAGCCCGTTGTCCCTGGAATCTGATAAGCTCGCTTGAATCATGACTATAGTAAAGCTGACTGGCGCACATACCTGAGGTGAAATGCAGGTTGAAAACGTCTGACGGGGGATGGACCGGGCGACTCCGGCTTGATCCATTGTGTCTGTCAATTCATTGCGGACCTTGGTCCCGGCCTCCCCAATAATCACTGATCGTTGCAGTCGTTGCAGTTCTCGGAGCGACGGGTTTGGGTTCGCTGTAGGTGAAACGGACTGAGTGCCAGGTCACGATCACTGCCCACTTCACATGATGGCGCGCTTTTCGCCCCTCGATGAGTCGGCCTATCGTGCTGGTCCAGAGGTAGACTCAGTAGGACTGGTGGGGGTGCTTTCCTACGAGAACAGGTTTAGAGAGCAGAACAGAGAAAGAAAACCAGAAAATCAACAAAGAGAGCAAGTCGTGATCAGACATGGCCGGCACGAACCTGATATAGTTTCCTGCAACATATGGGGCCCCGGGCCCGACGGGGCGGGGAGATCCCCCCAAGGTCCGAGACACCGATCAATCCCCCGAGCACGCATTTATTCGGGGATTTGATTACTGCCGTCCAAATCATGTACAGTCAACATGCTTGTTACATCATACACATCGATTCTGAGATCCAGGGAGCCTTGTCGTTGGAGTCGCTGAAGATGCCTCGGATGGATAATAAGGTAAAGTTCCATGTTTGTGTCTCAAATTGTTCAATGATCTCATCAGGAAGTAACAAGGGGTTAGTCCCAGACCGGCACAAAAACATGAGCAATCTGATGGGTGGAAGAAGGTGTTGAAGGAGAGAACACAACTCTCACGGTGTGCTTGAGATTTCTCCGTCTTTGTACAGATGCAAGTTGTGATGCCGCCTCCTGTCGCCGTCCGAGCTGCAACAGCTAGCTGGCATGATCGCAAAGACCCATAACAGCTACAATCGCCTTGCTGGACGGGAGTTTATGAATATCTCACAGCCCATTGCTGACGTACACCGATATCGCTCTTCACCTTTATCATGGAATTGAGAATCTGGTGCTCGAGCCCTCAGCCCCGCTGCTGATATGACACTTCTCGAGGATGGTCCAAGGTCGGCTTCACTCAACTGCCGCCCGGGGAGGAGTACGGGTCGAGATTTGCCGAGAAGCCCTACGATGCCCCTGGCCATGCCGTCTTTACCTAGTCCTGAGGGACCAGGCAGCTGACACGACCGCGATCGTGTCAATCTTGAATTTTGTGAGATCTGGGGTTGCGAGTGCAATTCTCCGAAGATTGACGTCATGCAATTTCCCGAAGGCATTTCAGAGCGGCAGTTGACCCCTCGATCTTCACCGGTGATTCTCAATCTGGGCTTAGATTCATCAATCTATTCACCACCATACTAACGCTTAGCAGCTAATCCCCCCCACAAATCCCCGCAAAATGCGGCCATTGTGAGGAGGGGAACAGGGTCCTCCGGGGTCAAAGTGGGGATGCTCATTTGTCAGACTCCTGAACCACTGGACGAGGAGGGCAAGCCGATACCATCGATTCTCCACCGGGTCTGCAAAGGTTTCAGAGACATGAGAAATATAAACAACACTATTCAACCCCTCTTAGAGGCTGGGAGTTCCTTACAACAAACAGCACGAGCGGCATACTCGCAATGGGTCCTTTTCGTTATCTCTCCCACCTGGCGCTGACGAGCGCGTTACTCGGCCTGGCAGAGAGCAAACTGTCCTGTACACCCGATTCATTCTCGAAGTACCTGTCCTCTGCCGGCCATGAGAATGCCACGGTCTTGCAGGCATTCCACATCGCGAAGGGCGACACCTTTGAGGTCCCGGCCAGTGACATCGCGTATCCGCAGTCGCCGACCGAATTACCTGAGCTCTGTGTCGTGCAGATCAACGTGACATCAAGTGCAACCTCAGCGTACACATTCGGACTCTTCATGCCTACCGAGTGGAACGACAGATTCTTGTAGGTTTCAAGCAAACCAATTCCTTGGGTTGTCGCTGACCGTAGTCGAAAACAGAGCGGTCGGCAATGGAGGATTTGCGGGAGGCATCAACTGGGTCGATATGGTCAGTCATGTTTATGCCCTCAGAAATTTCGGCAGAAACTGATGGAAGCAGGGCGTCGGCGCGCGATACGGATTCGCTACCATGTCCACCGACACAGGACACAACAGCATCTCCTCGGACGGCCGGTGGGCGTACCACGAGCCCGAAAGACTGATCGACTGGGGCTACCGCGCTATGCACGGCTCAGTGGTCCTGGCCAAGGAATTGACGGAGCAATACTACGGCGATGCCCTGAAGTACAACTACTACAGCGGCTGCTCCACCGGCGGCAGACAGGGACTGCGATCGGTGGAACTGTACCCCGACGATTTCGACGGTGTCATCGCCGGCTCTCCCGCGTGGTGGACGTCGCATCTGCAGCCCTGGACGGTGAAGATCGGGAGCTACAATGCCGACCCCGCCACTCAGATCCCAACAAGCATGTTCAGCCTGATCGGCGCCGAGATCATCAAGCAGTGCGATCCCCAGGATGGACTGTCCGACGGGATCGTGTCCGCGCCGCAACAGTGCAATCTGCGCCTGGAGACCCTCCTCTGTCAAGGTATCAATGCCACCACGTGTCTGACCCCGGCGCAGCTTCAGACCCTGCGCCTCATCTACAGCGACTACGTCGACGTCAACCAGACCTTTGTCTTTCCCCACCTGCTGCCGGGCAGCGAAGCGCAGTGGAGCGTGCTAGTCAATAACGGGACCGCCAATGGCCTCGGAATCGATTACGTGCGGTACTTCCTCGGCAAGGGCAAGCAGTGGCAACAGGACCAGTTCGATTACAGTATCATCCAGCTTGCGGATCAAATCGACCCCGGCAACGCGACGGCCGACGATTTCGACATCTCGCCGTTTCAGCAGAAGGGCGGGAAGCTGCTCATGTACCACGGTATGGCGGACGGGCTCATCCCGACGGACAGCAGTCTCCACTACTACAACAAGGTCACCGAGGAGCTGATCCCCAAGGGAGTCGACCTGGACTCCTTCTATCGGTTCTTCTATGTTCCTGGGATGCAGTAAGTTACCCTGTATGCGGATTCGATCAAGGTATGAGACTACAGAACTGATAAGATCTCTGAAGACACTGCTCAGGCACGCCAGAGAGCATGCATGCGCCATGGTACTTCGCGGGCCCCAACCAGGCCCCCACGCTCTCATCGAGTCTCCACAGCGTCCCTCAATACCAGGATGCGCAGCACGATATCCTGCTGGCCCTGATGAGCTGGGTGGAGAATGGGACCTCGCCCGAGCCGCTGATCGCCACCACCTGGCAGAATGACACGGCCCAGGATGAAGTGTACCGTCAACGGCCATTGTGTTTCTACCCGCAGAAGGCCGTGTACACGGGCAAGGGGGATGCAGGTGAGGCGGCGAACTGGGAGTGTCGGTCGCAGTACTAGGAGGGCTTGAGGCTTGCAGGGCTTGTAGTTTATATAGAATAGAAAGACGTCGTGATCACACCATCAGTTAGTGCCATTGTTCAATACTGCTGATGATCATCGGTCAATTGATTTATCAGGCGGGCTGCAAACCCAGTCCTGGTGATCCAGAGCTTATCCTGAGCCTGGAAGAGCGGTTATTCTTCCCAGTGCGGTTAGATCCCGCGGGTTCATACGGTTAGCAGGAAACTGTACGCGCTCCAACTAGTTAACTCACTTGTTCTCTCACTTGCAGCCCTAGACAGCAGGCAGAGCCACCACTTTCCACACCACCAAACATTCTAGTTCCTCCTCCTTAATCTCCTTATCTGCACGATGTTGAACCCTGCCACCGAGCATCCCACCATACAAACACCAGGGCAATTGCAAGATCGTAGAGCCTCCGCTCCCCTCATCCCTCCCGCGATGTCACCCTGTAATGCCTCAAGATGCCTCAAGTGGGGCGCCTCGTCTAGGCCACCCAAGAGAGAAATGCCACCCCCGCACTACGCGCTGCAGAAACCAGCCACCCCACGGGGAGATTGACTAATCGCTGAGACAATAAGAAGGGAAGGCCGTGGCTAGCCGGTCCCAAATAAATTGGGCCCCTCAAATCGTGCGTTGAAGGGAGGGGAAATTGTAAACGCTCACTCTACCTCTACCCCCGCACAAAAATGGCCTGACCACATCGTGGACAGTCCAGGCGTCATGTTCCTCACTGGATCTGCGGTTGTCTGTGCAGCTTCCCCAGACCGCAACTGTGGGGGATGGCTTCCCCTTCCCGGTCCATAAAAACCCCGCGACTGCCGCGGTCGCAGACGCAGATGCTCTTGCTACCTCTTATCAATCTGGTCGGTCGCATGCGCCTTGAAGAGCTTTGCTGCTGACTCTGACCATGACCTCGTCGAACGTTGAAGGCCGCGGGCAGTGGGAAGATCCCCCACCCGAGACGCGATGGAGCATCATCCGCAACAACCCTAAACTCATGGCCATAGCCTTCTTTGCTTCGTGAGGCACCCCCACCTTTACGATTAACAACCAACGAACGAGACGTACTGACACCGACTTCTTCTAGATTCGGTGGATTCGAATATGGCTACCAGCAGGGTGTCCTAGGCCAGTCCCTCGTTATGTACCGCTTCAAGGACAACTTCCCCACGGTAGTCGCCTCGTCCAGTGCCACGGGGTGGCTGACCTCCGTGCTGCAATTGGGGGGCATCGTGGGCTCCCTCTCGGCGGGAATCCTGGGCGAGGTCTTCTCACGCAAGTACACCATGTTCTCGGCCTGCTGCTGGGTGGTCCTGGGCAGCTACCTCTACTGCGGTGCGACCTACCACAACCCAGCCCTGCTGTATGCGGGCCGCTTCTTCACGGGGCTAGGCGTCGGGACCTTCAGTGGTGTTGGGTGAGTGGCTCTTCTTCTTGCAAGACCCGGTGTAAATAGCTAACGCGCGACCACGTCGACCACAGACCGCTCTACAACGCCGAATTATCCTCTCCCCAACTCCGCGGCTTCATGGTCTCCTTCTACCAGTTCGCCACCATCCTCGGGATCATGCTCTCCTTCTGGTGCGGCTACGGCAGCAACAACATCGGGGGCACGGGGGAGCACCAATCCGACCTGGCCTGGCGCCTCCCCTCGATCATCCAGGGCATCCCGGCGGCATGCCTGGCCCTGGGCATCTGGTGGCTGCCGTTCTCCCCGCGCTGGCTGGTGAAGCAGGGCCGCGACGAGGAAGCCCGCCGAACACTCTCCTACCTCCGCAAGCTGCCCGCCGATCACCCCGCGGTGGAACACGAGTACAAAGAGATCAAGGCCGAGTGTCTGTTCGAGCAGCGGGCGTTCGCGCGGACCTTCCCGCACCTCGCCGAGCGCGAGAAGCAGAGCGTCCTGGCGCGCGAGTTCGCGCAGTACTACAACATCGTGCGCACCTGGGACAACTTCAAACGCGTGGCCATGGCGTGGCTCG